TGGGTTGACCTTCGACGTTGGGTTGACCTTCGACGTTGGGATGACCTTCGACGTTGGGATGACTTTCGACGTTGGGCTGACTTTCGACGTTAGGTTGACCTCCGACGTTGGGTTGGCCCTCCAAGTTGGCGGAAGAATTGACACTGCGGTGATCTTCGACGTTGATTTGGCCTTCGCCGATACCCTCGCGTTCATGATTGCGTTCGGCTTGGCGATTGCGTTCGGCTTGGTGATGGCGCTCGGCTTGATGATGGAGTTCGGCCTGGTGATGGCGCTCGGCTTTTTGACGAAGTTCGGCTCGGTGATTGCGTTCGCGTTCGTCCATGTATCCCATCGCTTCGTCGTCGGACGAGATGTCCGAATCACTCAACGGCTCGAATCCATGTTCTTCCATGTCGTCCGGTGAATCCACGGTAACCTGTCCCGTGGCCCTTGCGCCAACCGTCTGCCCATAGTGATGCTGATCCGCTCCTTGGCCCATACCCGCAGCACCACTCGAACCCGACACGGCTACGGCCTCCACATCGCCTTTCATCTGCTCCACCAATTTCTCCGCCTCCTTCTCCGCCGCGCCGCCATTCAGGCTCGCCTGCTGCGGCCCCACCTGTCCGGGCTGGCCTGCCTTGCTCTTATTGAACACGTTCCGAATGACCTTGACCAGTTCGTTCTCCAGCTGCGTGAGGCCCGGGATTGGTAGCGGCTTGTCATTGAAGCTCTCCGCCATCGCGTGGTCGACTTCCCGCAGGCTTTGGCTCGGGTGGTTCGTGCTATTCTTCACGTACCAGTTGCGGAAGTTCAGGAACCCGACCGCTGTGTAGTCGGGGAACGTGACACCGAAAAGTCGGAAGAACTGGAGGGACGGGTTCGGAAAGCCGTCGATGGGGGGTGCGAGGTCAGGTTGAATGTGCGGACCTTGGAAGGGGAGGAGGTGGTTGGTTGAGGCGATGTTCGGAGTCGGGCGGGCCGGAGGTGGGGGTAATGGGCCGGAGGAGGAGGCGTGGGGTGCGAAATGGGGTGGAGGATGCTGGGCGGGAGGGGGATAATTGTGGTAGACTCTTTGGGGGTATGGGGAGTTTTGAGAGTACGGTGAGCGGTAAGGTTGTCCAGGTCGTGATGGAGTGCCTGGAGTAGCATCTGGTGCGCTGTCGAGGTGGAGGCTGGCCGGGGGTAGAGGAAGAGCACGCAGTGGTGCCGGACTCGTCTGGACGACGAACATCAACTTCTCGTCTGGTGCCACAGGTCGTGGGCCATTGATCCGAGGATTTGGCAACGTTTCTTCTGCACGTCGCTTCCGGTCCTTATCGAATGGTTCGTTTGGATCGATGCCCCAGAGCCAGCCCTTCCCGTCTTTCTCCACTTTGCGGAAACAAGGATGTTGCGCAAGATTGTGTCGCACACTACTTTGCCAACCATTTCCATCGACGGAGAATTTATAGTGTGGGTAGCGCATCATAATCCGCTTGTAGATGGACTTCAGGTTCAACGGCTGGGTGGAGGCGCTGAGGACTTCGTAGATGATCACGACGTAGGGTTTGCTTGGGGCCTTCAGCTGCTCGGGGGTGTAGTCCGCGAGGCGCATCTCGGGAGATGGAGACCGCTCGCGTTTGGGCGGCTTGTCGACTTTCGGAATATACCCAGCGGGTTTCTCCACGGGTGGACGAGGTTCACGTGGGTGCTCCTCGTCGGCCTCATTTCCTTCGTCATGGTCACTATCCAATCGCTCGGGTGCTGGGGTCACTTCATTGGGATCCAGGCCTTGCTCTTCGCGACGCTTTCGCTCCTTGTACTCTCGCAGCAATTGTTGTTTCTCGCGTTTCGACAGGAATTCTTTTGAGGGCCGACCTGGTCCACGGGGCCGAGCGGGGATGACGATGCCGATGGGAAGCCCTGGGACATGAACATCGACGCCATTGACTAGATCACGTTCACGAGAAATGTTTTCGGTGGATGGCAGCATCGCGCTGGGTGAGGCAGCATCACTCTCGTCTGGTGGACTGGACACCGGCTCCTCAGGTGACTTGACTTTCGGAGGTGCTGGGCGGCCATTGACCTTGGTCGTGATCTTCAGATTCTTCTTCAACGCCTCTTTCTTCTGCGCTTTCGTCTGCTGCTTCTGGGGTGCCTGTTTCTCCTGCTTCTCCAGGGCCGTCGATGGCTTTGTCTTGCCGCCTTTGTGCTTCCACCGCGGATCGTGTGTCGGCGGCTTCTCTGGCTCTTTCTCCTTGATTCGAAGCTTCAGAGGAGGCTTCGCCGGTTTCTTGGTGTATTCGACTTCTCCAGGGGACTCGCTGTCCTCATCTTCCATATCCTCATCCTCGTTGTCGACCCCATGCTGATCGAGGTCCTCGTCATCATCAAACTCGGCTTGTGAGCCATAGTAATAGTACTCCGGCTGCTCGTATTCTTCTTCGGACTCTCCGGAGATGTGTGTGTCGATCTCATTCCCTTCCTCGTCTTCAAAGCTGACGCTCATCTTCTCGCTCCGGTTATCATCTTGAACCGTATTCTCCGGCAATATGAAGGAGATCCTAACACCGCCAATTTGCATAATATTACCGCTTTCCAGGACCCTGTCGTCACCTCGTTCGAGGTGAACGCCGTCCAAGAAGGCACCATTAATTCCCAGGACCTCCATTCTCCAAACCTGCTCGGAGATGCTGAAGTATATGGAGAGGTGCTTTCGTGAGATGGCTCCGTGGGATTTCTCGTTGGGCCCTACCGGGTTGTGAACCGGAACAAATGGCTCTTCGTTGGGGTCGGCGGCAAAGCTCGAGAAGTCGGGAGGGAACTCGCTTGTATGGTTGATGGTGGTGCCGTTTCGTTTGTCCAGTTGCGCGTCGGCCGCGACACTCGGGGCCAACGGATGGTAAAACTCATGAGTGAGGTTGGCCCCGTCGGAGTTGATGGAATCCTGCGACTCGGAGGCGGCATGCCTTGAGCGACGGCTCTTCAGTGCCATTAAGGAGTCGGCAGACGGACCGACGATGCCTCCGCTCTCGCTGATTTGACTTTGTGCAGCGCTCATCTGCCCCGAGTGACCTCCATTCCCTAGGTCCCTGGCGATCGCCTGGAGAGCATCCTCATTCGAGTTTTCTCTGGATTTGCTCTTGAGCATCTTATATAGTCTCAAGTCTCGGCCAATATAAACGCGCTTGGTGTTGATATAAAAGTTGCCGTCCGGGAAGCCAAGTTTCGCGAACGCCATAATGGTCTGCGGGTGCGGAGTGGAATTGCCGCCATGGTGACCATCGCTCGATTGGATGGAGGCGAAGTTATTCGGATCGAATGAGTTGATTCCCGGACTTACTCCCGCGAGAGCATGGCTGAGCGCTCCGTGCAATGTTCCATCGGTCAATGCGCTTGCGCCTGCCTGGCCAAGGGCTAATGCGGCGGGGTGAACACTACTGGGGGTTTGAGGCGGCTCCTGTTCGACCGACTGGGGGTTGAGGTCCCAGTTGGCGATGGTCGAGGGTTCGACCGGAAGGTTATGCAGCATATCGAGGGTTGGTCCTGGAATTGCCGCGCTGGAGTCGGGATATATGGTGTCGCCATCAGTGGCCATGGTAGTGTCGACACCGTCGGTGTTCAGATGTGAAGGTACTTGAATCGGATGTGAGGCGAGTAGAGACATTTCGAGAAATGGGTCATTGTCAGGGCTCCGGGGGTGCGATTGTTGGTCGGATTGTTCGCCGTGATCGGTCCTTTCCTCTCAATCGGGCGAGTCCTCAGTCTCTTCCTCACTAGGACCTATCACTTCTCTGCGACTGCTGGTGAGGGTCGTCCCGCGGTGATCGCGTCAACCAATGAAGGACAAGTCGTGAAGCCACAGTAGTTAAGGTGTCTTTTGCGTAGCTTGAGAAGACAACGGTGTCCTCGTGTGGATTGCGTGGGTTGTTGCGCGTGAATTGGCTAAGTATGGGTGGGTTGTCTGGATTGTCGGGATGGACTGGAGGGACGCAAACTGCTGCGGGCGGCGATTGTTGGCCTTGGGCCGTTGGGCGGAAGGCGGGAAAGGGAAAATTTGCGGGGGTCACCACTGCTGGTGTCCACTGCTAGTGTCCGGTTTCCAATATGCTCAGGCCGTGTTCCTTGTCGACGGTGCCCAACCGAACTTGCATTCAGTTGCCTGTCGCGGTGATGGTGAGGGGAGATCGGGATTGCCTTGAATCTGCTGAAGGAATCGAGTTGGATGCGGTAAATGACGGATGTGCTGGTAATGCAAAAGCTGCGAACCAGGGCGGAACTAGCGGGAAAGGACAGCGGAATGGATTAGGGCGGGGCGGAAGTCCGGTATTGAGAATTATAGGCTTGGCAAAGAGTACCAAGAATTCATGGCGGAGCTCAAGCATCCGAGAAATCGGGCACGAACGTCCGCATGCAGTACATCCAGTCTTGTGATTCATCATTGATCACAATATTAATGGATCCTGCATCTGATTGTTCTTTTACAACCTACATCCCCAGCTCGAGCAGACAGGGTTGTATTGTTACCTAGCGAGCACTGTGTATTTCTTCACGTTTCCGTTCGTCCAAATTCCTTTGCGCGAAGACGTCCATGTGTTTGGTTCCTGGTACGATCGGTTTGGTTGCTGAAAGTTGATCCATCGATTTGCCTCATTTCCAAAGGGAAATCCAATTATCTAATATATTCCATGGTTCCAGAATGCCACCCAAAAAGAGCAAGGTCAAAAGTCACGATGGTTCAACCGGCTCAGCGGCCCAAAAGCAACCGAAATATCCTGTCGATTGGCCGCAATTAAACTCCAAGCGCGGATATCATGACCAAAATTTAAGTTTACATCAACTTGTCCCTGGCCAGATCATTACAATTCCACGGTTTTGGGATCCTGCCCTCTGCAAAGCGTACTTGCAGTTCCTCCCAACCCTCCCCCTCATCACCACCCCGGGAAAGCCGCGCAAAGGTGACGCGGTTCGAGTGAATGATCGCTTTCAGATCGACGACGCTCAATTTGCGGAAAAATTATGGTTGGAGACTCCATTGAGGGGTCTCATCACGGGTACAGGCGAGTCATCTGGGAATGAGATGAGTCCGGAACAGCGACGCGAGCTCTTCGGAGGGGAAGTCGTTGGCTTGAACCCGAATATTCGAATATACAGATACACGAAGGGCCAATTCTTCGACTGTCATTACGATGATTCCAACCTGGTCACGATTCCTGGAGACCCTTCGATTCCAGCTCGAACTACATGGACCCTTCTTCTATACCTGACTTCTTGCTCGGGAGGGGAGACTGTATTTTACCCATCCAGCGAGTCGACGTCGAAGAAGAACAAGTCTTCCAAAGGAGAAGCTCCTCTGCAGCCGGTCTCCATCGCCCCCGATGCTGGCCTGGCACTTTTGCATCGACATGGTGCAGACTGCATGCTGCATGAAGGTCGAGAAGTGTCAGGTGGAGAAAAGTGGGTCATTCGGAGCGATTTGTGTGTGAGGAGATGATTTCCAAATGGCTGTCATAGTCAATGGGCCTATCTAGGTGTCGAACGAATTAAATTGAGTGGCTTTACGAACTCAGTTCCGCATGACTTCGGTCACTGCCGAAGTCACCATGTCGGGCACTGCACAATTCGCATATGCCTTCTCGATCTCTGCACCGTACAGATCCAGCGATCTCTTACGAACCACGGTTCCCTTACTCGCTCGCATGAAAGGACTTGAGGCCGATGTGAACAAGATCAAGCTGCGTTGGACGACCGCGTGCTTGGGTGCCGCCGTATTAGCGGCCTCCACGGAAGCCAAGATACTATCAAGAACCTCCTTTGCCTGGGCCCAGTTCTCCAAGGGGGTGTCCTTCATCTCGATCAGAAGCCCAGCAGCCATACGTCCGGTGCCGAATACCAGCGCCTCGGAGACATGGTTATTGAGGCGGACATTCTCCTCGAATGAAAGCGGATTATGCTTCGCCCCGCTGGCGAATACAACGAGGTCGTCCGTCCGGCCTTGGAACTTCCAGTGGTTCGGAAGGGTTGGATGTTTGGAGTAAAGATCACTCGACAGATATTCCTGGCGATCAGGAAACGTGTTGAAGATGCCTTGAATGCGCGCAGCAGCAGGGGTTTGCACGAAGACCAGCTCGTATCTGCCTGGAGATTGCTCACGGAACTCGATACCGCTTGCCTCCGGGTCGTACTCGATGTACTCCCAGTCTTCAGGCTTGTGGATGTATTGCAGCCCAGTCACACCCCCTTCTGTGGATCCCATGATGGAATAGAGGTTGGTTCGCTTTGACACTAAATTACCCGTGACTTTATCGAGTGGGCCTGTGCCGATGTCAGCGATGCTCGCGTTGGAATTTCAAATAACGAATACTCACCTCCAGAAAATGATGCCGTGTCCATCCGACCGAGGGCATCTAAGCCGCCTTCCGTCATTGCAATCCCCTGTATTGTCACGGGAGCAAGGACGGCCCTATACACCTTGCCATGGTTCACCGCATCTATGATTGTCTTTGGGGTGGGCGGACTATCCGGGTGATGCCACACCTGCTCCGACTCGCCGTAGAAGTTCAATAACGGGCCACCGATGAGGATGCCACCGGTATGCCATGGTGGGAAGTTACAATAATATCGCACTTTCTGGAAAAGCAACGAATATACGTTGTTCCGACCATCTTCTTTCGGCGGATACGCCCCTAGCTCCCTCAAGGAACTCACAAAACCGTTCGTAAGATTCAAAGTCTTGGGCATGCCTGTGCTTCCGGACGTATGGACAATCACGAACGGCTCATCCCACACCTCCTCGAACGTCTTCTCGTACGGATACTCCCTCGGAGCCTTCCCGTCCGCCAGGAGCGCATCCAGCAATGGGACCTGGATGCAGTTCATCTCCTTGTCCCCGAGACATGCCGCGATATCCAACCCTTCGCTATGCAACAAGGTCCCGCACTGTTTCGATTCGAAGATATGCCGATGCATCTGAGGGCTGTTCCGCGGCGCCGAGTACAACCCAACGAACCCGAGTTTCTTCAACGCAAGCGCCACCCAGTGGTACCGGAAGTCCCATTTTCCAATGTAGCCGATAGCCTGGTGCGTGGTGCTGCGACCGATTCGGGGCTCCAGAGATTCGCACAGGACGTTCACGGCTCTGGCATATCGCGCGGCGGTGATAGAACGAAAGCCTTGGTTGATGTCGGTGGAGTGGGGGATGTACGCGACGATGCGATCTGGAGTGGTACGAGCGACATGATCGATTTGGGTGGTCTGACTGCGTTCATTTTTATAGGACATAGTGACCACTTGTCTAAAATGTGAAGGAAAATATAAATCGTCGTCTAAGGTATCCAATTGACTTGTGAAAACCAGGTAGGATAAGAAATCGACCGGGTTATACACACCCTCTTATATATAATTGAATCACGGCTTGCTTACATCGACGGTCGTCCGCGCCGGGTCTAAATCGAGAACATCCAATCCACGATAGCACTGTTTCTTTCTTTAATTGACAAATACAACATGGCAAATTCGGAATGGATGCCGTCACAAAGGAATTTCCCTCAACTCAGTAAGCATGTGATTAATAGGACTCAAAGAACAGGTAACAGCTTAGAGTGGCTAGGCATCTCCGCATTGGCTCAAAAGAGTTAAAGGAGGGACGATTCAGCTCTCTCCAGGTGGCTCAACCGGTACCCGATCTACCTATTATGTGGGTAGAGGACATTCGCGGATGATGTTAAGTCTCGTCAATACTAAGAATAGTATAGCGCTTCTCGGCCAGACCCTGCTGTCTAATTTTAGCCTTTAGGTATTAATTCATTACTACATGTTGACTACAGGTATGATGGGGTATCCGCGCCCCTGGTTAGTGGTTTCGTCAGCTGACGCTTACCTCATCCACGATTGTGGACACTAGGGCACGCCCGTCCTCATAAAGTCTTCATGAAATCTAACCCGATTTATTAGTACGAGTAACAAACGGCTTACGAGTAATGACACACCAACGTCCGATCGGATTGACCACAAGATGGCAAGAATCATCGGCTCACAATGGTCGGGGGTCAAGGGTCGGGGGTCAAAGGTCGACGATCAGTACTAATATTGATGAGATATTTGAGATAGGTCAGCTGATATCTCGACCGTCCACCCCCCATTCCGCCCACCCAAAATCGGTATCACATCAGTCGCTTTATTGCTTCATCTAGTTGAATCCATACGTTTTTTGGTGGTCTAAAGTTGAAAATTATAAAGACACGACTGGAAATAAGCCTCAGTGCTTTTGGCCTCCCCCCCTGCGATGTATTGGTGATCTTCTGCCCGTTTTTCCTCCTCGGCAGCCTCCTTCTCGGCCTGTTCTTTTTCAGCAAAAATTCGGTCGGCATTCGCATATTTCTCGTTCTGATCGACAGTGATCTTCTTCTGTTTCTTCCGCAGCAGGTCGCCCATATCTTTAATTGTTCTGCTAAGGCGTTGAACTTCCGCCTTGTGCGAGGCGATTACGGTGTTCTTTTTGCCAAGCGACTTTGCAACCTTGCGCTGGAAACCCCTCCGACCCCTTGCCGTCAAATCATCCATTTTTGTATCCCATACTTGACTAGGACCATCCGGAGTATGTGATCTACATGTATCAGGCGGCTCCGGTGTAGTTTCAGGGAAAAATATATGGTTCTCGTTCAATTGGGTAGAGGCCAAGATCTTGTGCTTGTTGAACGGAAACAGACCAGTGCCACGGAACCCCGCCCGTATATTTTCGGCTGACAAGCCTTCAGGGCGCGCCTTACTATAGATCTCAATGAATCTATGCTTTTTTACAGGCGTATTATCATCAAGCGAACTTAGGAGACGTAGTTCGCGGCGGTATTTCGACTTCAAAGGCGAAAAGCACGCGATATCGAGGGGTTGCAAGATATGCGAGCAATGAGAGGGGAGATATAGGAGGAAAACCTTATGGTCTTTACACAGCTTCATGATCTCAATCGTTGCATGTGACCCATGGCCATCGCAGACTAAGAGGCGCCATTCGTTCTTGTCTTCAGGGGCTGTTTCCGGCAGGAATTTCCTACGGAGCCAGTTAAGCCCGATTTCGTTGGACGTCCAGGCGTTTTCAGATACTGTGAAGTGCCAATTCCGCCACCCATAAATATGGGCCGGAAACCATGTAGTCTGCAGGCTGTAACCTTTGAAGATTACAAGTGGTGAGATCGATCTACCGTCTGCAGAAATCGCTTCGATCAGGGAGACCCATTCCCGGCCGCCGGGGGTCTTAACGTACGTATGGCCCTTCAAATTCTTCTTGCGCGCTGCGACCACTTTCCCATTGGTGCCCATACCGAACATTATCCCATGTTCGTCGAAATTCCAGCGGTTGCAGGGCTTGATCTTGTAGGTCGTGCAGATATGCCTGTACAGGTCGAGAAAACTAGAAATAGCTTCTTTTGTTGCTCCATTTGCCCGTGAGGCCTCTAGAGCCTTCCCCACCATAATTACTAGTCACCTGGGGGTTCCGGCGCAAAAAGCCCTGGACCCAATGCTTCCCGCAAGGTTTGTTGTCGCCATTTTCTCGCGCAATACATTCCGCCATTTGGGTAACGCGGAGATAGGAAGGGGCTCAATTAACGGAATCTTCGGCGACGATCCATTCGACCAGATCCCGTTCTTGATTAGGTGAGAGTTTCTGCCGAATCTGCAATGTTTCTTTGTGTGAAGGTGTGCCGTCAAGTCGGCCTCGAATCGTGCTCCTTGGAATCTGATAAGCGGTCGAAGCGGCACGGACAGAAGGATATTTTCCGGTTTTAATATCACCTAGCGCATTTTCCAGCGCTTCCTCTGTATACTTTGGCATTTGTATGAGAAATTGGTAATGAAATAGAGTTGATATTGTAGTAAAGAAAATATTACCCGGCATATTTTGAAGTGGGCGGGATCGGGGGTGGGCGGTTAGGGGGTCAGCTGACCTATCACTGCATCCAATCAAGGAAGTCCATCCCTCAGCTACAAATCGGTAATACGTTGGGTATCTAACTTAGTTATACGGAACTCTAACTAGCGGCAGCATCCTCCTCGACCCATCCCCTCAGCCATGGCATGACCACGTTCTATTAGAAAAATGCTCTTTCCACTTCTCGTACTCCCCTCATAGCAGCAGCAACATGCCACGGAATCAGTCCGGACTGCGTCCCTTGCAACCCTCGAAGCTTTCCGAGGAGCCCTAACCCTCGATACAGCACCAACAGATCCTTCAACGTGGTATCCACGTACGCCAGGGGCGTCGGCAAACCCCCAGGCGATCCATCATTCATCGAGTTACTACTACCACCACCCGAGTTATTATTCCCACTCCCTCCCTGCGTCGTGTGCCCAACTTGCCATATCCAGACCAGATTCACCGCGACGCACGGGAACTCGTCGCCACCGTCGTCGTCAGCGTAGGAGGACAACTGGTCGCTACCTGCCAGTTTCCCGCGTTTCACGAGTAGTCCGCTCGCGAGACACGGGCGACATTCCGTGATGCTGTGGGCGTTGCGCAACCGGCGGTTGAGCATGATGCCCCAGGTTTCGTCGCACGCGTCGATGAGGTGCGCGTCGGGATCGGCCGATGCTTCGAGTGTGAGGTCGCTCGGCGTTGCGGCAGGTGTGGGTGCGTGGGTGTCCGGAGACGGGCCAGCTTGAGGGGTGGAGACAGGGGTTCCAGTTGCACCGGCAGCGGTGCTCTCTGGAGGGGTGATGGAGAGGTATGGAGAGGCATCGACGGTCACGAGCGTGACCAATACTTGGAGATGGGATGGTACGAAATGGAACGACCGCCATGCTGGAGATGTGTCAGCTCGACTAGTATCGTTTATGGGTTGATGCTTGCGTAGGTGACTGAGCTTACCTTCTGACTCGTCTTGCTCCATCACTCCCGAACGTGCGATGCACAACCGCCAGTTCGACCTCCGAGCGGGTAAGAAGTCTAGAGTCGTCTCCCATATCTCGCGGATCACTTCAACGATCGGTCGATACTTGTAGAGACAGTAAGAAGCCGTGGTGTGATATTTCCCGGTGTTGTCGGTCCAGACTGCAGTCACCCAATTTCCATCCTGACTTTTACTGTATCCGACATGAAGATGCATGTTGTCGTGGAGCAGATCCGTCGGTGGCTCCTTGTCCACCTTGAAAGGAATCTGTTTCGCGAGTCGCTCTTCAAAATGGATCGAGGGCGCCGAGTAGATTGGAAGATCGAGCTTTTGCTTCCCGTCTTTTCTCGGTGGACATCGATCGTACACCTCACGAGCGAGCTTGTAACAAAGGTCTGCATCTGTTGCTGCGGACACTGCGAATCGCGACACCACCTCCAATGGGACGACCTGCAGAACAATATCCGGACAGGCGGGCATGGTACGTATAAACGCATTCTTGCGATACTGTTGGAAGAGCGCCCAGAATGAGGAGCAGATCTGACGGAGCGATGAGGTGGTTCCAAAGGGATCAACGATATAGATCACATAATTGTCCGGCTGGCCTGAGTCGTTGATATTCGATGCGCCCTTTTCTGTTCTCACGGGTAGCTCAGTCGCAGTTCTTGCCAAACTGTTGCCCAACTGGATGCATATGTCTGGTAGCATCTGCCCATCCGATGATCTTCTGTCAAGACTGTACGGGATGAGCCCGACGGGCTCGAATTGCGTCGACCTTCCTTTCGAATGTATTCCGAGTTTGAGTGTCTCGTATCCTGCCCCGATGCTATCGATGAAGTTTTCGACAGATTCCGCGACTGAATCCGAGCCCGATTTTGAGGAGGGGTAAACACAGTGGACGGCTAGGTTTTTCGCCCCACCAGGAGGTGCAAGGCCCAGTGCTTCCCAGAATGACAGAGAGGTTGGCAATAAGTCCCATAACGCATCGCATCGTCGCATCCGTACCTGTGGTGGAGGAATAGGGAATACGAGTCCAGATGTATCAATATTCGTGTCCGGCGTATGAATAGCAGCTCCAGGTGTCCTTTTCACGTGGTTTTTCATATTCGCCAAGCATCCAATCCCAGGGAAGACATCTTGGATCTGGAGATATCTTTGGAAATCGCATGGCCGACTGGAAGGAAACATGGCATTAACGGAACTTCGAAAGGCGTTCAGGAAGGATTTGTTCGGGGATTTCGATATCCGCCCGGATGGATCGGAACCGGATGGTGCCTGAGAAGCACGCATTGAGCTAAACATGTGCTGGCTCGCAATGATCTGGGCTATCGCAATCGTATCTTCGGGGGTGGGGGACTTCTCGTCGTACAAAGTAGCAGAACTGCGGGCTTCGGGGTCGGAGGCAGGCAATAAAGGACGGGAGTTCGGATCGACCATGAAGTATTCCGATGCTTTCGTCATTTCATCGGGAACTGATACACCAGGCGCGCCGGTTTGCGTGGTCGGTGGTTCATTCGAGCTCCCAGGAGTCGCACCGGCTTCACGGTCAACCCCGACGAACTTCCTTTTGGTACCACGCGGCGGGTCTTCCGTATTTGACCCAAAGAATAACGGCTGGACTTCCGTTACAGTGCGGGCGTCGTCGACATCCGGCGAAGAGCCTTCTGTATCGTTCGACTCGTCCGTGGTATCTGGGCTCTCCCACCGCGCTCCCCGTTCGCGCAGCTCCTGCAATTCAACTGCAAGAGGGGGAAAATGCGAAGCAGCCATGGCCACCGAAGGATTTCGCGAGGAACTGGTAAAAGCAAACCGCCCATTCATGTTGTATTTGGAATCGGCGGAAAGAAAATCGCTGCTGAAGATGACCGCTTCAAACGGATTGTCCCGCTTGATGGATGACGCAAAAGGGGATGCAGTGCTCGTTGTGGCATCTTCGACCTCGTGAGGGAACAGCTTGCGCTTGACGAGTTCAGGGCTCAGTAGAAGCATCTTATTCTCCTTAGAATCCGAATCGGCATGATGATGGTGCGTTTCGATCTCCAATGTGGGATTTGGCCGTGAAAATTCAACGGTCGGCGACTCTACGTCACCAGCACTGGTTTCCTCATGCTCTTTCGTATCTGACTTTGACTCGATAGGTAGCGTAACGATGTTATCGATCTGGGTGGCTTCCTGTTCATCCGCATCCGGCTTTGCTGAAATATCAGGCATGTCCATCTCGTCGGTAGATTCAGGAATATCAGCCACCGGATCGACATCGGGTTCGTCGAAAAAACTGAAATCCGCTTCCGTAAGGTCGTTATTCACAAACTCATCGTCATCATCGCCGGCAAACGGTTCAATATTCGAATCCGTGCCTGATGTAGTAAGATTCTCACGCACAGCACCGGGGCCCGTCGAGAGGACCTCTTCCGGCCGAGCAAACGGCTCGGTCAACGAAGGGTATCCGATCAGGTCCGACGCATGATTAGATGAATCATTCGCTAGGCCTTGAGGGGCGTGTGCTAAGACAGCATCTGGTGGTGTTGGGTATATACCCGTGGTTCCCGGTGCATCGAACATGGTTCCATGTCTCATGTTGAACGGTGAAGATGCATCCAACATGCTCACATCCGCGTCAACCGGCACCTCAGATTCTTCTTCCACTTTTGCGCTTCGGAGGGCTTTAATGGCTACATCACGAGCGTCTTTTTGACTTGCCCATTCCTGAGCCTCGTTCAGAACCTCAGATAGCCCATGTGTTCCAAACGCACCGTGGAACGTCAGGGGCGTGGTCGTCTCAGTCTGATCTTCCTGAGTTCCGGTGGTGTTCGTGTCGAGTGTATCTAGTGCACTTAAGTCACGAGCTCGCCGAGGAGCGAAGCACAAGCGGGCTGGCCACCACACAGCTCTTGGGTTTCTGGCCCGCCCGCTTCTACCCACTCGTACCCATTGCTCGGGGTCGTCAAGTCCCTCGATCTCAATTCCGTTGCTCCGTAACCATCTCTGTACCACTGCCTTCCAGCGTTCAGCTCCTCCCCCTTCGTCTGATGTGTATGCTCGCGTAGGATCGTACCGCGCTTCTACTCCAACAGGAGCGATACGAATCTTGCCACTATAAGTTGAGCCAATCATAGGATCCTGGATCGGCCGCCAACTTCTATTCGAGAGTGGTTTGAATGATATAGATAGTGTCCCCGTGTTCGTGAGGTTGGCATCGAGAGCAACGGCGAGAAACCCGGCTCTGCCCGGGCTGGGGGTGGACCTGTTTTCTATTATAGGCTCTGGCATGAGGAGTGTGCGGAAATTGAGCGAGATCGCACGATGATCGCGACAGAGGATGTATGTAACCGTCCATATCACTGCGGAGAGAAATGCGGCGTAGACTCTCGGGGTCTCGAGTTGCGGCCGCTCTGCTGGAGATGCATCTCCCGTCCCGGATTGTCGTGGCGCATTGGCATGCGAAGGCGCCGGGCGCTTCTTCAGGAGTTCGGATGCGCATAAGAGCCCGCTTGAGATTGCCTGAAACGTATAGCCGTCCGACGTCGGCGGAGCGGGTGTGTAGGTCCCCTTGTCTATTGTTTGATCGGGTCGCTTAGGAAGAGACTTTCCGAACACCCATACTACCCGCAGCTGGCTATTCGGCAAGGCCACATCTCCACGGTCGATTACCGATGTAGCAGCGTCGAGGCAAGCGATGACTTGGTCGGAGTTCAAAGGCGCGCGGCGAGGGAGGGATGGATTGCTGCTCGGGATTCCGTAGATACAATAGGGAACGCAAGCACAACCATCCTACACGAAGTCAGCATGGTATTTATCGTACTAGACACGCCATCAACATACTATTGACTGGGTACCAGTGTCATAGTGGAGAATCTGGTCCATTCCTTGAAGTTCATGAAGCGCTGGACGAAAGTATTGGATATGAATTCCACATGATAAGCACAGCCATATAGACAATGTATAGGCATCAACACCGGCTCCAGAGAAGAGTTTTGCGAAACCGAAAGAGTTGATTATGTAGCACGAATGGTGAAGAATGCACGTAAGCAATTCTGTACGGCATACAAGTTGTTGGTTAGCGATTCAATGTTGCGATCGCGAAGTCACGACTCGACGATGCACAGTGACCACCGGAGAGACGGGGCCCGGGACACCGGGAACATTGCGCCACTGTCGGCATCCAGTTGCCGAAAGTCAAATTCGGGCCGAGAAAGCATCTGGGGAAGCCGGCTTACTGTGTTAGGTACGGAACACTCGTAAGTCGTAACTAAGTTAACTTAGTCATTCTTAATTTAACGTACTCTACATGCGAGTGGTCAATACAAGCGAGTGCCAGCCCCAGCCAAACCAAACCATTTCAATTAAAGATATCTCTACAACGCCCTAATTATATGAAACTCCGATAGAAAAACATTGATCTGTAGTAACTAGACGACCTAAAGAACATGTTTCAGCCCGATTTTGTGGCTCACGGGTGTTTCATGGTTAGGTTTGACTGCTCGCTTGTACTGACCACTCGCTTGTGGAGTACGTTACTACTAACTTAGTGTCGCACGTGATGTGCTAAAATGGTTGGGAGTGAGGTGCTGTTGTTACAGCAGCGAAGTTGTTTGTATTATGTGTTGTGTGTAAGTTGTGTGTTCTAGCTGAATGCCTGGTCCCCCAGCCCTACAGATATACGAGAGTCACGGCAAGATTATTAATGCAGTTTGTAGCCTTGGACTCCTAGAGGCTAGAGCTCATGCCTTGGCCTGCGACACTTAGTTATGTATGTTTCCTGCTTACCTACTCTTTCAACAGTACTCCTTGTGTGATCCCGTGTTCCATATTCCTATTAGTATTGTTCCTACAGTAGGAAGAGGACTTGATCCTCTTTTGCGCCCAACTCATGTCTTTTTCCCATCCTTCTTAGTACATCGTGTTTGAAGACATATATGCATATGGGTATTTGAGCCTATGTCGTTTCCGTTACGTTCTTCGCACGCGCTTTTTCGATCATTCCTACAGTCAGCGAGGGTTGTTTTTTTATGAACAGAACAAGTACGATCCGTGGAAGTGCTTCACGGCCAAATACCGCTTCTTGCCTTCAACAGTTGCGTTAGATGACTCGGACGTGTAACCGGATGATAGGAATTTATTCTCGTAATACGGTCCAAGACAGTCCTGCAATGTGCGTTCAAAAATGACTGACTATTCCTGCTGCCCACCTCGTGGCCTGTATGATTCCAAGCCCCTCTAGGCTTCTAATTTCCTGCCCTAGTCTAATTCTCTGCCCGATCAATATACTATTTCGATTCAGCATCACAGTCAATCATGGTTTAGTCCCAGTCCGCAGAGTTTGAAATAATTGAAGATTGATACTTGTCATCCTATGAAGGCTTGCTCTGGAGAACTAATCAGGAAACCGTGGAAGGATCACACACAATTGTATTGCAACCATTCTCGTGGATATTCTCCGGCACTGGTACCAAAAGTCATGTCTTCCGGTTATACTAAATTGAGTTCGGGCAAACCATGGAATTGCTATCCATTTTCATCAGTTTCACGGTTTCTAGGTCGGATGTGAATAAACACATAGTCAAGAACTAAGTTTGGTGGAGTTGGATATGTACTTGGCAAGTCTGGGAGTCTAGGAGTCCGGTTGGATGCCATCTCAGAATCAGCTAAGAATGGTGTTGTAGGTGTCGAGTTGGGTGTTGAACACCGAGTGTGCCATGACTATCATCTGGCTTTATACCTGGATGGCAGCTTCACTCAGGGGCACCTATGACTGTACAAGTTGAATTTGACTGGTTATTGTTATCCTACATGACGCTTGCGGTTGAGAGAAGTAGTGAAGGAACAGTGGGAAGATCGCATACCCTCAATTGCAACCAACTATTGAGGATTCTGCTTCGGAATACGAAATTATTTCTTTGTTGGAGCTGGGGGAATATATGCCACGGAGTGCCTTGTAGATTGTAGTACGAGTCATTCTTTACTATTGTCGTGGTTTTCGGGTCCGCATAAAAGAAACACGGTGTGAGCTGCTCAAACCCTCCCCGTTTCACTTACACGTGTCCCTTCGGATGCTAGGAGTAAAAGCTAGATGGTTGTGTTCTGAGTTCTTGACAGTGAGTTGTTGATATTGAGGCCTTATTGATGGAAAGCATTTCTACGCAGATAATGCCACAACCATCGCATTTATACTTATACTTCATGATCAACGAAGGGAGAGTTGACTGTCCTAGTAACGATATGACTTGGATAAGTGCAGTTGGACATTGACACAGAACTGCTCAGAACCTTCAATGAGACCGCTCACGAATAGTTCGGCAGTTGTACTTGGAAATGCCAGTACATTTTCCATCACAGCAGACATGAGACTTGCAAGTTCGTTAAATCTTAGTTATCATATTTAAAAGTTACCTGCACTTCAAGATCCTATACACATATTTGGCAACTGAATAATTTCCGGCACACAGTGCTGGTGTATCCCGGGGAATGGAATCCTCCCTGGTCATCCGACCTGGAATTGCGGTCCCAGCACCGGTTGACAGATTAGCTATATCGTCCCCCACTATTTATGCCCCATGCGAATGACCAGAAGCCTCTCCGGCGTGGGTGTGACCACCAGTCGCTTCGCCAGATGAGCCAGATGCTCCCGAGGAGCCAGAGGTCGATGTGCTGGAGGAGACCGGAAGGATAGAGAACCTGGGTTCTTCGGCCCCAACAGACGGGGTGGAAGGAGTGGGGCTTGTAGAATTCGACGGTCCTCCCGGGAGAAGGCTGCAGTTGGGTCCGCTCGCAGAATCCGGGACGCTGGGTCCCCTGCTTCCCGTGCTGATTGTCGTGGCGCTGGATACGCCCGACGGAGATGCCGCCGAGCCACTATCGCTGCCGGCACCGCTTGCACTACCAGCGCCGCCGAGGAGGCCAGAAAGTCCGGGCAACGGGCTGCCCTCTCCGCTTCCACCGCTGGCACCACCAAGAAGACCAGCAAGGCCAGACGACTCGCCGCTCTCTCCACTTCCGCTGCTGGCACCACCGGGGAGACCGGAAAGCCCAGACAATGGGCTGTCCTCACCACTTTCGCCGCTGGCGCCACCGGCACCACCTAGGAGACCAGCAAGTCCGGACAATGGGCTGTCCTCACCACTTTCGCCGCTGGCGCTACCGGCACCACCTAAGAGACCAGCAAGTCCGGACAACGGACTGTCTTCCCCACTTTCGCCGCTGGCACCACCGGCACCACCTAGGAGACCAGCCAGTCCGGACAACGGGCTGTCCTCCCCGCTCCCACCGCTGGCACCACCGGCACCACCTAGAAGACCAGCCAGTCCGGACAACGGGCTGTCCTCTCCGCCTTCACCGCCAAGCAACGCGGACAGATCAGGGAGGCCTCCCTCGGTGCTATTAGACCCTGGGGAACCGGGCTTGCCGGGCCTACCGGGCTTGAAGCCACCAGGTCGGGTATGATTGTGGCCGTGGCTGGAGTTCCTTCCTCCGTGAAGTTTCTCTAGGAGATCCTTAATATCATGGCCTTCGCCTCCCTCTCGGAGTTTGCCTAACAAGGAGAAAATAGCTTTTAGAAGAGGGGGAAGCGGAGGGCCGACGGAGAAGCCTGGATCGACGCCCGCAGCTGGATCAGGAGTTGGGGTATCCTGCCGCACAGCCAGAGGCGCGGCGGAGGCCGTTGCTGCGAGAAGGAGTAGGGTGGAGGGTTTCATGGTGCGAATGAAGGAATGACTTTAACGATTGGACTAAGGAATAGGCAGAAAAGAACGGATACAGAAACAGCGACTGGACCAGCGGTACTAACTAAACTGAATGGATGGCTTATGGAAAACGATAGAGGGAATGAGGCCAGAATTTATAGCGGTCGTAATTCTCGAACAACGTCATCTGCTATCCAAAAACGTGGATCTCGTGCACAACCAGTGATCGATCGGACGAAATACTAAAGGAAGATAAATTAAATGTCATGTATCTGTGAAGAGGATTTACGGGTCATGAGAGCAAATGCCTAGGGATGCGAATATCATCGCCATGCTGAGATGATTCGAAACAAAAGCGTACAGGATGAAAGTGTGTCAGAGCACAGCTGAACCGTTGATCCGATCCTTCAATTGAACAAAACTGGATCGAGTCAATCAAACAACACAGGAACGTGGTGTACTAGGAGAGCTTGCCGTGAATACCGCATGGAGGCAATTGGTCGCTCCAGGAGGCTCATGCGGGTACCTGTTGGAGATATATTGTTCGCAGGGCCAAGTGGGTTTGCAATCTGGAGATATTACCGCACGCCATCGGCAGGAGGGTCCCGAAAATAGATTAAAATTTAAACTGCAAAACTTCTTAGCATACGGCTCGGAGCCTCGTTCATGACGTATCGGAAAACACGAGAATGTAAGAAAATGGTGAAGGTGGAAGCGTTTCATCTGGTTTCATCTGGTCTCGTTTGTGTGGGGCAGAAACTCTTTGTACTAGTGATCAAATCTTGAGATGAGAAATGGAAGGACTTTGCCAATCGACTTGAAGCTACTGGATTAAAATCTGCCTATAGCCTCGATAGATCTAAATTGACAAGACACCTTTGGCATTCGAGCAATTGTGCCTTGTCGAATTCTGCCGCCCGAGCGTATGATCCAGGAGTCTATCCATCAGGCAGGCTGGACAGAAGTAGGGAATCAATGGATCGTGTCCCGATGAACATCTGTTTTCGGGACAGCGTAAAAACTGTCCGTTAGCATGACAGTGAAACTGGACAACCCCTTTTCAACTGCCTTCCTAATGGTCAGTCGCGCGTAGAATCCATGGACTCGAAAAGGTAATCTATCTCGGCTGGAAGCAATGGATGGTCCTCGATGGATGTCGATGGATGCGCCATTTGATGATGAAAATACACAAGAGTACGTTTCCTTACCAATCATCCCCTAATACTACCAACTGGAACATGATAGTGGGCATGGATGATGGATTGAATTGACTGCAGCAGTCCAGATGTGAGGGAAGTGGGAACCGAGGGTTCACCGTTTTCTGGTTCTACGGGAAGCCCGAGCCGTTCCTCGAAACGACCCCAAAGCCGTTCCAACTAGCATGGGATGAGCCCACGGGGTCGCCATCGGCTAGTCGCCTTATGTTAGTCCTTACCTTTCGACTTCCATTGCCAAAGTCCCTGGGATTCGTCGCTTGACTTCAGCCACCCGTCCATCCACACGGCAGCTCCGATGATCGCACAAACACCTTGGACATGCAATTCGTCGGAGGTTCACCTTCATGCTGATGAACATCACGAGGATCAGCCATTGTACGGACATGCAAGGGATAGGAGAAGAGGAGGAACGCAACGTCCTGGCCAGGACGGCGTTGAACCGGCGTCATTCGATGCCATTCATGCCATGGACTCGGCATGGAGCCATGGAGATGCTGCTCGTTCGGGCATTGGTCTAGCGGTATCTGCCGGGGTCGTGCGGATATTCTTAGTCGCCGGCGGGGCAGTGAAAGTTGATGTTCTGGACACTCGATGGCTTGCGACGAGAATCTTCTAAGTTTTGACTTCTGAGGATATGATCCCCAGTTCGTTGCTGAAGGGTGCCGTCCGGTCTTCATATTCGCCGTTATCTTCTTCTTTCTCGGTTGAGTCCATGGTCGTGTCTACATTGTGACAGAGTCTTTTGTATCCCCTCCGTGCTGTGATTCTGGTCCCAAGGGACATCCTTGCTCTTCTCGGACAGAGCGACAGAGTCGGATGCGGCTGAATGTCGAGATATCAAATCGTTGACCCCGTTGCGATCACCCACAGCCGTTGACAATCATTTAACTCCTCTACCTCTCGGGGATTTTCCACGACCGCATCTCTCATCTCCTCCGCATCACCACCATCACCATGCCACACACCATCCGCCCTTCGGACCGCCACGCCCCCTCCGTACCGCCTTCTCGCCCCAACTCTCCACCAACACGTCCTATTTCTCGAGACGCTTCTCCCAACCCCAACTCCGACGACCGCAACCCTCCTCGCGACCAACCTCGTGGCCCCCGCGATCTACCTGCTCGTCGTCCCCCACCACGCCATCGCCGCCCGCAAAAGCGCCAGGAACCCCAACGCACCGTCGTCGAGTTCTGGGACCGCTTCAATAGCAAGCACCCGGGCAAGGCATATACCCTACTCCCGGATAACTTCTATGCGACGCGTGCAGCGGGCGCCCATGCACGTAGGGCCATCCTTCATGGCGTGAATGCGCTCGCGAGTTACGAGCAAGCGGTGGAAGAATGCTGTGCCAAAGTGACGAAGATTGTCGAGGAGTGCAGGAGAATTAATCAGAAATATCGGGATCCCCATTTCGACATTGAAGCGGACTTGAAGCGGATGATCACGGACCGACAGCCGCCAGATAGTTTGATGGGCCTGGCGGATACGGTGCTAAAGCTGCGCCCGATGAGTGTGAAGAGGGTCGAGGACATTTTTGAAGATCCGCGGTTTTTCATCGAGGGCGCGACGGCGAATGATGTGCGGCAGGGGAAGGAAGGGGATTGCTGGTTCATGAGCGCGCTGTGTACGTTGTCGAACAAAGAGGCGTTGATTCCGAGAGTGTGCGTCGCCAGAAACGAACAGGTTGGTGTCTACGGATTCGTCTTCCGTCGGGACGGCGAATGGATTTCGGAGGTGATTGATGATAAGCTTTATCTCATCAAGGAGGACTACGATGACAGTGCGCTGGAGAGGAACAACTTTCTCCAGCTGCAGAACCGGGCCACCCCGGATGATGAGTATAAGGCGGTGATGCAAACCGGGAGTCGGGCATTATACTTTGCGCAGTGCAGTGATCAGAATGAGACCTGGCTGCCATTACTTGAGAAAGCATATGCGAAAGCACATGGCGATTATGCCGCTCTGGAGAGTGGGTTCGTTGGGTGAGTAGAGTTCCACGTCTCATGTTGTGCCGTCGTCGACAAGACTGACCAAACATAGAGAAGGGATCGAGGATCTTACTGGAGGAGTGACGACGGAGGTGTTCTCATCAGATATCTTGGACCGAGACAAGTTCTGGGGAGAGCTGATGAGAGTCAACGAAGATTTCTTGTTTGGCTGTGGGCAAATGGGAGGAATATACGGATCAAGAAAAGGGATTCTAGAGAAGCATGCATACGGCATCATGGAGGCGAGAGAGATCGAGCACGAAGGCAAAGTCCATCGTCTCCTGAAGTTGCGGTAAGTCGTGCTGCAACCCAACTTGAAGCAGAAAACTGATAGCGACTAGCAATCCGTGGGGTAATACAGAATGGAAAGGTCCATGGTCCGATGGAAGTTCGGAATGGACGCCATTCTGGATGGAGAAGCTGAAGCATAAGTTCGGCGATGATGGTGTCTTCTGGATTTCATACAAAGATTTGCTCCGTCACTACCAGCACTTCGACCGAACGAGGCTATTCGGACGCGACTGGACTGTCACTCAGCAATGGACCAGCGTACAAGTACCGTGGTCGTCGAATTTCCTCGACACTCAATTCCGGATCACGGTGGAAAAGAATGTACCGGTGGTCATAGTATTGTCGCAGGTAAATGACTTGTTTCCGCGAAGATAACTTTGCATTGCTGATTCGGACAATAAGCTCGATGACCGCTATTTCCGAGGTCTTGAAGGCCCTTATGAGTTTCATCTCCAATTCCGACTGCACCGAAAAGGGGAAGAAGACTACATCGTTCGCAGCAATGGTGCCTATTACATGCGTCGCTCGGTCAGCGTCGAGCTCACCGAACCGGAGCTGGAAGCCGGCGAGTACACGGTCATGCTCAAAGTCACCGCAAAGCGGTACTCCGGCGAGCCTCCACCCGAGCAAGTGGTTCAGCAAGTTTGCCACACGCGCCGCGAGAAATTGCTGTCAGTGGGTCTGAGCTACGACCTTGCACATGCGAAGGGGCAATTCCGGCCGCTGGAAAAAAATCGCTCCCATGCGGAAAAGCGACGCAGACACGAGGAACAGAAGAAGTGGATTCGGAAGATGTTTGAGAAAGAGCGAAGTGCAAGAAAACGGGCGAAATGGCGGGCGATCAGGATCGAAGAAAAGAAGTCGCTGAAGGAAGAACAGCGGTATGCTGCACGGTTGGCCGAACTCGAGCGAATCGAGGAAGAAAGAGAGAAATCAGAGACCGCGGAGAAGCAGACGAAGGGCAACGGTGTATCAGGAGAACCGGATGGTATCCGCGTTCAACTTGAAGACTTCCGCCTTAGTAATGGCGACCGCTCACCAAACGGCAATCCGCTCGGCATCAACATGAACGGCAACGATGAAGCACCGCAGCCACACCCGCTCTCTCAAACCTACCCTCTACCGCACCACAGCAATTCACCACCACATCGCAGCTCCACCCTCCCCCAAGTCTCCCGCGCAGTCCTCAACGAAGACTATCGCCGCCCCTCCACCCCTCCCATGCGCGGCCACACTCGCCATCCCTCGGGCTCCCCTCGCCCCGAACGCGGTCGTCCTGCCTCCGGCTCCTTTTCCGGCGCCGGCATAGGTCCGGGCATGCGGCGTTCCCACCGCGACAGCCTCCCCGTCCCGCCGGTCTTCGTCCGGCGCCCCAGCATCACCGGCGTCGACCAGGAGCACTCCCGACCGGGGACGCCGAGCCTCCATGGAAGGGCTCGAGGACTCAGCGTGAGTGACGTGAGCTCGGACGAGCTCAGCTGGGACAGCGAGATCGACGCGCCGGAGTTCTCGTCGGATGAAGAGGATGACGTGAGGCATAGTGAGCAAACACGACACGGTGGACATCCACCACCGAACTGGGGGAAGTGGTTTGGTGGGATGAATGGGCATGGAGGGAGGGGACCGCATGAGCCGATGCGACCGCATGATGAGATGGGCCCAATTGGAATGGGGCCAGAGGAGGAGGAGATGGAGGAGGAGCCGTGGAATGCGGTGTGTGTTTTGGGGTTGCGGGTGTATAGTAAGGAGACAGAGGTGAAGATTGAGGTGGTGAGACCAGGAGTCGAGTCGGGGGAGGAGCAAGAAAAGATATTGGATGTAGATGACAAGGAGGCGGATGCAGCGAACATAGCGAGGACGAAGGACATTTATACGTACAGATATTAGTTGAGTTAATGTTCACATACCAATAATGCCAGACAGTAAAAAGCCGGATCCATCCATCGTCTTCACTTCTGGTCCCATCTGTCGTCCAGCGAGCAAGGAGGTTGTTGCCTTGCAGCCTTGCAGCCTTGTCAGTGTGACCTGGACTGTGGATGCGATTCTGATTCAACGTCAATTGATTGATGCCCATCAACTGATCGACATTTACTCGACACACCTCGATCCACCGCTTCTATTCCTCCCCTATTTCCGATCGAAACGATGAGTAGGAGCCCATATTCCTCTGCCGGGCGACTATGCTTCCGATGCTTGCGCGCATCAAAGCAGAGCCGTAGCACACGATCCTTTGCCTCCACTGCAAGCGCCAACCAACCACCCGCAGCTTCACCACGTCCATCCAGCAATGATGCTGCACCCGCAGACACCACGCATTTCGGGTTCCAGACAATAGCAGAATCCATGAAGGAGTCTCGAGGTATGTCCGCACCCCTCGAGCCACCACATTCAATCTAACCGCCCTCAGTCGGCGCCGTGTTCTCGTCCGTCGCCGGAAACTACGACGCCATGAATGATTTTATGTCCCTCGGAATCCACCGCCTCTGGAAAGACCACTTCGTTCGCTCCCTCGACCCCGGCCATCCATCCTCCATCTCCCCATCCACCCCATCGTCTGGCTGGAAGATCCTCGACGTCGCCGGCGGCACGGGCGACATCGCCTTCCGCATGCTCGATCACGCAACCACCATCCACAACGACACCAGCACCTCCGTTCTAGTCGCAGACATCAACCCCGACATGTTGAACGAGGGCAAGAAGCGTGCGCTTCAGACGGCATATGCGCGCTCGGGGCGCCTGGAGTTCATGGAGGCCAACGCGGAGTCCATCCCATCCATCCCGTCCAACTCTATCGATCTGTACACTGTCGCCTTCGGCATCCGGAATTTCACACACAAAGATGCCGCACTGCGCGAAGCGTTCCGCATCCTCAAACCCGGCGGCATCTTCGCGTGCCTGGAGTTCACGCCTCGGCTCTCCAACCCGCTGTTGAACGCCGTGTACAAGCGGTGGAGCTTCGGGGCCATTCCGATCATTGGCCAGCTGGTGGCGGGCGATCGGGATAGTTACCAGTATTTGGTGGAGAGCATCGAGCGGTTCCCAAGCCAGGATGAGTGGCGAGGGATGATCGAAGATGCGGGGTTTGTGACTCCGCAGACGGCGTGGGAGGATTTGAATGGGGGGATCGCCGCGATTCATAAAGGGATGAAACCCTTGCGGTAGCGGAATGGATTGCGGCCTACCGTCTAACATGTACGAATAGCAATACACCACAACTCAAAGCATTTTTCTGACTATCCAAGGCAGTGCCCCGCCGAAATGGTGTGCCTCAACCCCCCCGACCAGCACTGTTACCTTTAAGAGCCAGGACATATCGAACAGTTTCAATTCAAGGAAGGCCACTGCCAAGGACAAAAAATTGTAATATGATAAGGAGACATGTGAGTGTTGATGTTGGAAGTGTTTACTTAGCCCCTCTCGCGCCCTTCATTCAGGGGTAATCACGTGAGCCTCTCCCTAGCCCCTTTCGATCCCCCTCTTCATCGCCATAAGCCCAAATCACTTTTCACTTGATGGCGCTCAAGCACGATCCCTCGAAGTACAGTGTGGGTTACTGCGGCGTCCTGGCATATGGTCTACGAAATGGAGACATCGACGTCCACTGCCAAGTCACTCGTTGAATCTCTCCATTCTGAAAGGACGAAATTGAATTCATGGCATGACGCTCTTGACACACCGCCCCAGCCTTCCTGACAGAAATCAACATGGCACGCGGGAACTCTTGATATCTAGGCCAGGTAAGATCTGGCATAGGGAATCGTGAACTTTCGAAGCTCTGGGGTATGCTTCCTTACACTTATTTTCGTCCACTATGGGTGCCACATCATCGAGTGATCCAACAACACCGGTAATGCTGCGGCTTCCAGAAGTCTGTTTTCAACGGGCATCCGAAAATCCGCGTCGATCAGTTTATAATTCGAGACGTGCTTATCAAGAAATTAGCACCCATGATCCAAGTCCCTGCCGCCCAAGTGTTCACCGATTTCCAGGAGATTGCCGTGAAGTTGGGCTTGGGCGAGGACAACCACCAAGCTGAGTTAGAGGGCGGCATCAGAGCCATTGAGGGCAGTTTTAGAAAGCCTATCTCCAATATGGAGTAAACACGCGCTCCAGATGTCACAGGAAGTGGTACCAAGATCTAATGGTGAACGGCATGATCCGTACGACGAACTCAGCTTTGTCACTGACAATATTACTGGAACGGAGCCGTCTTATCCTGTTGATGTTTCCAGCGAGTACAGGCTCCGTCACACCGTTAAATTCAAAGCAATCGGCCAGGCAGCCACTATGGCAGCCATTCGGTTTGACTCCATCCTAACTTACTAAGCCAAAAGTCTGGGCACAGACCCCATTCTCACCTGAATATCTCTACACCCACCCCTTACTTTGACAATCAATAACTTTACCAAAATGAGGTCTTTTGGCACAAAAATAAGTGGTAATCGAGGGCCTAATAAGGAGTTATCGGCCGCTTAAAGAGTTGGAATTGTTCAGGCTGCTGAAGATGGGAAACCAAAGACTGAAATCGCGCGGAACTTTCGCGTCTCTAGAAGCACGGTGCATGGGACTCTAGAGAGATGGGAAGAACATCAAACCACCGTATCTTTACCCCGTGAAGGGTGTCCCCATAAGCTATCACGCCCTGACGAACGGCATATCGTTCAAATCGCGCGTCGATTTCCTAAAATGGAGTATGGAGAGCTCCTCGCAGGTATTTCGTACCTCCGCATTTCTAGGAAGACTATCTACCGAACCCTTAAGAAATATCACCTTACGAAATGGCGAGCGAAGAAGAGGCCTTACCTGAAGCCCCACCACGCAAAAGTCCGCGTCCGATTTGCCCACGAATTTCTTGAATTCGACTTCTCCCGGACCCACTCCACGGACGAGTGCTCGTATGAGAAGGGGGCGGGCGGTAAGCAGGTATGGGTATGGCGACTGTACCACGAGGCATATGATCCGCAAATGGTCGAGCCTAAGACCTCTGGCAAGGCCATTTCACAGATGATATGGGGCTCAATCTCGCGTGATGGGAGGTCAGGCCTGGTGATCATGGACCGCGACGAAACCTCCGCAAGACAGGGCTATTCCGCGAAATCCTACATCGCTACGTTAGAGGAGGGACTTCTCCCTACGTACGAACCCGGGGATGTTGTTATCCAGGATAACGCAAGGATCCATACGGCTAAAATCACCCAAGAATGGCTGGAGACGCACGGCATTTGGGTCATCGATTGGCCGGCCAATTCTCCAGACATCAACCCCATCGAGCACATATGGCATCTGTTGAAATCAAAGGTCCTAGAGCTGCACCCCGAATTGAAGATGATGGGCGCCTCGGAGGAGGCACGGGAGGCCATGAATGCGGCGTTAAAGGAGGCGTGGTGGGCGATCCCTCAGGAGACGATCCGAGAGCTGATCGACTCAATTCCGCGACGTCTACGGGCGGTAATCAAGGCAAAAGGGTGGCATACGAAATATTAGATATTTCCCAATTAAGAAATCAAAAAAGTAGACTGAATTTGCATTTGTATGTGTTTTGCAGCGTATCTCAAGATACGGTGTATAGCGATTAGATTTGGTGATTTTCGGGGGTGTGTGCAGACATTTGTCTACTTAGTGTAGCTCTTGGTGGAGGCCCGTCCATGGCGCACAATATTCCTGAGCGTACGAGTCACTCTCAAGTGTAGCCGACGAGATCGGCCAGAAATCCAATCCACAAATGGTACTGTCGTGATGAATGTCCTCAAAGCCGTCAGTTAACTTTCCATTTTCGTCGTTGGCCGTATGTCGGAGTTTTTCAATGGTATTCTCAACCAGCCATTATCTTGTCAGGTTCAAATCAAGCTGAACAATGACACGAACAGTGACACGTTCAACGGGAAGATTGATGGCATTTCTCGGTATTTCGAGCCAACCATGTCGAATCACTGCAGAGGATATTGGTCACATGGTGTCCAAGGACTTGCTGTTCGGATCAGCAGGAACCAAAAGCTTTTCGACAGGAACTGGTCTCTACCCGATCGATATTTGAACCGTCATGTCTAGACGGCTCCTCCAAATTTGTCGGAGAAATTGTCGATATATGTGTTGAGTTGGAGTATTTCATCAAGGAAATCTACAATGCCAAACACGGCAAATGGGACACTACGAAGCTAATGAGGTTCCGCTAGGTATGCCTACCATTTACGCACGGAGCAGCTTGTTCGACGCGCCCGATTCGGCATCTCAACGACGACTTCGTTCCAATACCTCTCCCATCAGTGACGTCTTCCATCAGTGGTTCCTAAGCCATTCAGTGGAGTCCACTATACAGAACGTCGGGTAAGACTTTGGCCATTCGCACGATCAGGGTACACTCCCTGCGCTCGTGGGTGGGGGCAAGAAGTGTTGCTCGATGTCTAGGCATTGCGCAATTGTCATAAGAGCATGGACTTGACGGGGTCGGACGAGCCACGAATGCATTCTGAGCAGTGGAGAGCAACCTGTTGCAGTCATGCTCTCCGAGAAAATGATGTCACACAGCCACCTCCTCAGCTCGCATAATAGAATCAGGTAAGGCTTCTCTCGATCTACGTTTAATTGAAACGATAGACCGCAGTCTAGAACATTCATTGCCTTCAATGTGGCTGAGGACGCGTCACGATAGCCTTGCGGCTAAATTTGGGCAACCGAGGAGTCAGTGATGAGCAGGGAAAGTCAACAGGACAGCACGCTTGCAAATGCGGCTATGCACGCCAGGTAACATCATCCTGAACCGAATAGGCAGTGTACTTATCGCAATATAGGGACATTCATTATGGTGTGGTTCGTTTGATACGCTATTCGTTGCACCCCCCCGTCGATTGCGGCAATGGTCTTGGCAGCTCGCTCGCTTCTATTAATTCACACTGGAGGGTACTGAGTAGCTGCCATTGGGTTTTCTTCATCGTTTGCAGTCGTGAGAAAACGGATAGAAGGTGGCCAACCCGTCAGGGCATCGAAATAAAGTTTGACTTGCATCATATGCAATGCGAGAGGGTGGCGCGGAGTGGCTTATGGACGTCGACCCAAGCTGGTGGAAGGCATTACGGTAAATGCTTAAGACTTGCCTAAACAGAGTTACTTTTTTCATGCGACCACTGCGTCCCGATTGCTCTATACTTCCTTTGCGTACCATAATGACGTAGAAAACCGTTGAAGGTCTTTATCAGGGCGTGAATTTTGTCCATATAAGTCGATTTCATCATACCCAGGCGTGATGGAATATTCTATCTATCCATTCAATCTCTGCTATTGTCCTGTCACATCTATTGAATTGTGCCCGTTATTCATTTCGCCATATTAATTTCTCACAATGACTTCCATCGACCTGCTAAGTCTCTTCAAGATACCTACTGGTAGCACACAACGATGTATCGGATATGCGAGGAGCACCAGCGACGGCTCCTGTGGAAACCGCGTCAAGAGATATGGAGCAGAACAGATTATCGAGCAGTCCCTGGCCGAGCCTTTGTCCAAACAAAAGCTTCGCCAGGTGCTGGTATCTGTCGCTAAGGCCTCTCTCTGCGGTCGCTACCATAAAGATCAGGCCATCGGTATTGTATACAGATGGGAAGCCCGTATCAGGATGCATTGCCCCGAGCTTATAGAGCACGACATTGATCGGGATACGTCTATTGATGCCGACGATGCTTCTGCTGATACCGTCTATCAGTCAATCCCAAACGTAGTAGAACTTACCGTTCCTACCGGAGACCAAATCGATACCGTCACCGATATCCCAGCCGATACCTCTACCCAGCAGACACCTCTTGTATCACAATGCGGTGCCCACTGCCAGCGCCGCTCAACTGATGAGGATTGCCCTATCTGCACTTCACTCCTGGCAAACGCCCCTCTCTCGTCCTTGACATGGTGCAAGGTCCAATGCGGCCACAACCTACACGCCGAGTGCATGGAAGAATGGCTAGGGTCACACAATAACGGTCCAAGCTGCGTCGTCTGGTAAGCTACTTGCCCTACAATGCACTGTTTTATTCCCGATCTATTCTGTGGTTACAACGCAATTCTAAGTTTGAAATTTATAGTCGTTCACCATGGTTACCACCTTGTGAACACGAGACTGCAGAGCCACCCTTCTCGATCTGGACTCAAGACGCAAGCGCATCTGGTCTCGCTCGGTTGTTTGATCCGAAGAATCACGGATTCAATATCTGGAACGAGGATTGCCGAATGGAGTTTAGGCTCCTATTTAGCGAGGATTGACATCGAAGACAAGAGGCGGAATTGAGATGGAATAGCGTTTTATAAGAAGGAGAAGAGACTGATGGGTCGAATACTGCTTTCAATGTAGTGGATCCGCTTTATATGCCACTGCTTACAGTTGCGATATTGATCCTAGTCGGGATGACTTTTTGATCCGGAGGTGCTTCGGTGTTTTGGGAAAATGGTTGGGCTGAACTTGTAGCGTTCTATTTACCTAAGAAGTGGATGCCTACGGAGTAATAGTACCCATTCGGATTGCATGTACACTAGATTCTATCCTCATTTACCTATTGTCCAAATCTATAGCAATGTTTCATAAAATCACTAACCCATTCCTCTCGTTAGACCCACAATGATTGAATATCATATTGGACACGCACTCGATCCAGTGAATCTGAATGATTTGGCATGATGATTCATATCAGTTGTTCAGGAGGTCTATGTTCTTCGACGATGTCCTGCATTCCAGGCCAGACGCTCCCACCGTATCGTTCCGCAGCCATGAAGCACTTCGCGGCCTTCTTCTCATACTCCGCCCACAGTGCTGCGTTCGCTCCTTCGCGGTATCGATTGCATTCCAGATCGCCCACCCACAGCGCCACCATCCCTCTCAGCTCCCACAGTCCCGGCTGCTGGTCGTACGGAAAGGTACCCAGCGTCGAGTCCATCCGCATCGCCAGTTCTCGCGCCATCCTCAGTTCCCCCAGCTTGATGGCACGTCTTCTGGCGTCGAAGCCTTCGTCTTCTTCCGAATACGGTTGGATGGCCTTTTCACTTCTCCGCTGGATTTCGTAGATCCAGAGCGTGAACATCGGTTGGAAGAAGTCGCGAGCGTCGACTCGATCAGGTTGCTGGACGCGGTAGGGGTATTCGAGAATCAGTATGTCAAGCAGCTCTCGTGCTTTGCGGACTCCGTCTGGAGTGTATAGACCAGGGTTTCCGAGTCTGTGCCCTTCATGACGAACGTCACTCGTTCCATTGTCATCATCGTCGCTGGGGGTAGTCCGATGGGAATCCCCATCTCTACTACCTTCCGCTCCGCCATCCTCTTCAACGTCGGTCCATTCGTCGTCACTGCCACGGGATTGTCGTGTTCGACGAGCGAGGATCTCCGCCGCGACGCCCCAGTAGTTGTTCGCCGTGATATCCGGGTAGTCCGGTCCAATCTTCGTCCGCAACAGCAATCCAAACGCTTTACTTGCACGATCTATATCTCCTTCCAAGAGCGAGTGGTGGAGGATATCAGACATGACAGCGAATTGATGCCGAGGAGCGAACTGTTCCTTTAAGGTGACACGTCTCGCGTCTCGCTGTGGTCGGATCGCAGGATCGAGGTCCGAGAATCCGCTCTCGGATTCCCCGATGTCGAGCCTTGGTCGCTTCCTCTCGCGCAGCGGTGCATGAGGAAACGGAGCCCCGGGGAAGGGTTCCCCTCTCTTCCAGTGAGCAGTTTCCAGCTCTTGAAGTTGAGCCGCAGTAAACTCCGTTCTCGGCGGCGTCTTCTTCCTCTCCTCGACATGGTCGACCTCACTCTCCTCCTCATCCGACGCCTGGCCGACCTCTCCCTTTCCCTTTTGACTGCGAGGCGATTTTTTCGCAGGGCCTTGGAGACGTCGAGCGCGCTGCTGCTTCGTGTGTTGCGATTGGCGGAGCGGTAACGCAAACGAATGACGCGATGCCATTGTGCATAAAAAGGCGAGAACCGGTGGCTGCTGACTGGTTCCAATAGTGCAGTGACAGCAGCGTGCAGCGGACGATAAAGTGAAACACCGCCACCGAGATCAGAATGCAGCGGTCAGACGGCCAGACGGTCAGACGGTCGTGCCTTTTGCATCGGACGCCTTTTTCGGCAGGCTGAGATGCTTAGGAAATGGGAGTCATCCAGGGAAGTATTTAAATATTATGATACTGGGATGATACTGGGGCAGGCGGTAAAAGACGATTATCCCACGACTTCACCGCCTGATATTGAATGAATCAAACGGAGGTTGTCTTAAATAGCGTCTCGACTGGCCCAAGAGTACATTTGCCATGGTACCGCTGGAAGACCGCTGAGAAGTGATACGGAGGGTTTGGAGATGGAGCATGAGAGGAAGCCGATGGATGAGAAGCCGAGCTGGAGCTGGAAGCAAAAGTGGCTTCGTTGCAGAAATTTGGCATGAGAATTGATGGATCAAATGAATTCAACTTCTTTCTTGCTCACGCTGTATCTTCACAGCACCTACCAAGTACCTACTAGTATTAATATTCGTGCACCTATGAATATTGGTGCATGAGGCGGTGGTCTAGTGGCGTTTCGCCTTCTCCCCAGCCGTCACTTCACCTCAACTCGTCATCTCGACATGAGCCCTGAATGATTCAGTTACCTATTCCTCAACTCCTCCGACCATCTCCTCATGAATCAACTATCCTATCTCTCCTGCTCCCCATTCTTACCTTTACCTAGATCCCACTGACCGCTTGTTATCCTCATCGTTTGTTATACCTTCGATCCGGGACCGGTCTCCCATCCGCCAGTCCCCGAGTTTGCCAGGCGCCTCCGCAACCCTCCACCCGCGATGGGCTCTGCAGCCTCAAGACAAGACTCTTCGGCGCCTTCGGGCCACGCGCGCCAGTATCGAAGATCCGTATTTCACCAACTGCCGTCGAGACTCTCGTTTCACCATGCCGCCCCTTCGTCCCAACATACCTTACCCACGTCCTCGACCCCCCGATCCCTATCACGATTGCTCCGGCGTCCTCGACGGCCAGCGTCGCCCGCTCGACCGGACATGACGGACATTCGACGACACCACCGCTTTTCACTCGCCGGCACGGCTATCTCATCCGGGATTTCTGGTGCCTGGAGTCGAGTTGCACCACATAGAACACGCCGAACTAGCCTGAGCAACCGGTCTGCGACGCACGATGCTAGGCCGTCGGAAGAGTACCTCGACATTGAGATGCCGGACGTGGCATTCGACTTCGACGAGCTTTCAGGAACTATGGACACCGCTTCCCCGACCGTTTCACGGAATAGCTCAGATATGAGTCCGAACCTAGCCAGTTCGTTGCGGAGAAGGGGGCCGCCAATCGTGCGAGGCGAAGATCAAATCGCGATTCTTTCAAGACTATTGTCTGCAGCCGCGGCAATGACGGCGGAAACACTACTGGGCAGAGATCATAGAACCGTCACGTCCGATCGAGATGCGTCGGCTGCGGGCGAAGAGGGGTCCTTTGATAACTTCCTCCAATCACTTCGGAGTGGTCAAATCGCGTCCGCTCTCCGACAGAGTGCGAATGAAACGGATGGTGAAAGTGAGGGAAGCAATCCCGAACAACGCCCGCTGAACTTCTTTCGAATGTTCCGCTTTGGGTCAGCTGGGCGCCAGGGCAACGATAACGCTGAAGGGAGCCCGGAAGGACGAATGATACCCATCATCATCGTTGGGATTCGGTCTATATCTGGCGGAAATGACGAGCCGAACATAAATCCTTTTTTCGAAGCCCTATCTGCACATCCGCCCGCCCTACAAGCCCCGACCGACGATAGCTTCACCAGTCTACGTCGTCAAACGCAGAACGGTCCTCGGGCACACAGTCATCGCCGAACGGCGTCCATGGGTGGCTTTAGGTCAACATCTGGCGCAACCGACTCGGATTCCCGTGACACCTCATATGAGCGGACCCGTGAAGGCACCCACATCCCCTTATCTCCGATCCCGCCGCCGTCAACTCCAGCAAACGGAGTCCTCCCCGAGCTCACACCCAGGACCTCAATCAACAATCCACCGTCTCAACTCCCGTCGGCACCATCCGCGAGTACCTCGTCCACCAGTGATGATTCTCGAAACTTGTCGGTCAGCAGCGACCACGGCATTGACGGCGACCGATTGGCGCCTCCCCCCTTCACCCGCCGACGACCCCGCGAACGCCCGCACAGCCAACCCGATTTCGGTCGATTCGGATCCGGGTCACCCCGGCGCAACGGTGTCATCGCGCCCGACAACCTCGACGAATCGCAATCTTCCCGAAGCTGGATCATCTACGTGTTGGGCGGTAGCTATCCCGAGAACCATCCGATTCTGACCACCTCGAGCCTCTTCACCGACTCCCCTTCGTACGAGGACATGCTGCTTCTCACATCGTTGCTCGGCCCCGTCAAGCCTCCTGTTGCCAGCGCCGAAGACGTTGCCGCTGCTCCCGGCATCTTTCGCATCCAGGAGCGTCTTGGAACCCTGCACGCGATCGCGGTGGAAGGTAGCGACATGATCCCAATCAACGCGGGCCAGCGATGCTTGGTGTGTCTGTGTGATTTTGCCATCGACGAGGAGTGCAGGCGACTCGTTGAGTGCAGCCACTTCTTCCACCGGGAGTGCATCGACCAGGTAAGTGTGATTTACGACTTCACGAACCGAATGAACGAATTAGTTTTGCTGACGATCTCTTCCCAGTGGCTCACGACCGGTCGGAACTCATGTCCGCTTTGCCGTGGGCGTGGAGTCGAAGAGACATCGCAGGCCGAGGAGGCTGGTCCGTCTCTAACCGGCGGCGGCGATGCGTCTGCCACAGCGTCGGCTTCTGCTGCTTAAGCGGAGTCTTCGATGCGAAACGAACTGGAGGGATGAACTCTCCCCTTCGCTACGATCCCCTTATATGACTCAAAAGACCTGATATTTGTTGCGCACCTAAAAGCTCAAATTACGATTTCCTCATGCTCCAGCTCTGGGTTGGCTTTTCACAACAACCTAACTCTCATGTCGAGAGATTGGAGCGGCTTTATCCCCTAACGGCCAAGACATTGTTTCTGCAAGGCGTCAAACGGTGGAATCTCATGCGCCTTGCACCGATCTCGAATTGAGCAATCTTGCTCTCCCTGCCTCCTACTCATTCCTTTGAATTGATTCTCTGTTTAATTGCTCCGTGACGTTGTATTCACCGCGAGTCGTTTAATGAGAGCGAGGAACATTGCGCCTCTGAATCTACGGACGACCGTTACGACTCTTATGTTTTGATTCCCCCTCGGCTGCTTCTTGATCATCATGACACTGGTCCGGATCGAGGGGGAATGGAAGGCTGGCGTCGGTGTTTATTGTATTTGTTGCCATGTCTTTCGATTCAAGACACCTTTCATTGTTCTTATAAGTCTTCTCAAATTGTACCTGCTTCGCGGCACCTTCGTTGGGGTCATCGTTGGGTGGACTGCCTCACGGAGGGAACACTGTAGCCTCGAGAATCGGATTGGTGCGGACAGCACCCTAACCAGACTGGAATCGGAGGGGCGGATATCTGTACTATGGTAGATACATGTACCGAGCCTTAGAGGAGCTCTTCCAAATTCCAATCCTGTCTCTATCTCAAACTCGACCTCCACCTTCGCACGTGTTTCATATTGCTTAATCATGTGCTCACGTGGCATGTTCCATGTTCATGCTGTTTGTCTTCGTCGCAGCCCAGCCTGAGCTACAGCTGCAGGCGCAAGTAGGAATGGGACGTCTTTCTGCATGCCCTGCATGGCGACCAGCGTGGGGCATACAGACCGGCATCTGGACGACTATCTTTACTACCTATTTGTGCAGCCAGGCTATCACGTCTATCTAGCGCAAGTTCTAGAACCAGCAGCGACAGCGCATTGCATTTCTGTGCTGTGATAGACCCAGTATGATTGCAAGGCACACCATATCACTCTACATTACATGCTATGGAGTTCCAGGCCTTTGAGGACACGGGGAGACACTTCCGCAATTTGCGGCGGGCTACCACCACACGGTTGAACGGCATACATATTATGGTATTTCTGCATCCAGGACGACTCATGTGCCGCTCTGCCAGCATGAGGCAACGCCCTGCCTGCACGGTAGCCTCGCCAGAACCGTCCGCTCGGGATTTGCTGTCCAACGTGCCACTAATCCAGCTACCCACGTAGTGGCACTAGTCGTGAAAGTCGGTCTAGCAAGGGTTTCCACCCCCAGCTTACGGATCATACCATCATGGATGCGTTGGACTCCTGCGCAAGTGGGCAATGGGCATTGCTGATTGCATGCTAGGAGCCCCTCAGTCTTCCGTGATCGTGGACTCTAGCCCGCGGACTCTAGCCCGCGGACTAGCTTTACCCGTCTCGACTCTCGACCGTCTCGGACGCCGTCAGTGGGCAGAGAAAAGGGAAGGGTTAGGGGTACGTGATAACTCCCAGTCTGTCATTGGTTGAACGCGGAAAAGGTACGAGCAGGTTGGACAATCTGAATTCTGACAAGAATGACACGCGTGATATGCAGTAATTAGGACCCGCTACAGGGAGAGGATTAAACTTTTTCTCCCGCATGTACTAGTATGTATATTTCCTCATTTGCTACCCCCATCACCCATGAGACATCAATCCCTCTACTGAAACTCCATTACTGTCGCAGTCTCGTAGGAGAATCGGCGACTTTGAGAGTCGGTTTCATGTGGAAATGATGTGTATCCACACTCCCAGTCACCGATTTGCCTTCCATGTAGTTTCCTCGTTCTGGTATACGCCGTCATGCAACCATCCGCCCACGAAAGCCTGGCCGGTGAACACGGGAGAGTGACGACAACGCGATGCTGAACGGCCCGCAGATTGGCGTCGTGAAACGGTGGGCTAGACGTGTGGTTTACAAATGCTCTCGGAATCTTTGCTCGAGAAAGTCAAGGGGACCGTATTCCTTGGCAAGTTGACATCCTTGTTAGGTCTCCGGAGTGGCTTGACGACAATTACCTATTCCAGTCATTAGGGGCGGTCGAGACCCCTCATTTTGATTTGTGGGTTGTGTCATTGTGCTAGGAATTGGAAATACTAGTTATTATTAATTACAAGATGACTAGTTAGTCCGAGCCTAAGTGGTGATCTGGAAGGTCGTTCAAGTGCCTTAAGATGCTGGTATTGTAACTATGGGCGGAGGCGGCACATAGTCATGCCGATGATACCTTCAACCCCTTGTTGGACTACCCTCCTGGTTTGGTTTATCAAAGAGTGAGCTGCAGAGCTGGGCCTTGGTAGACTGACCTCATGGCGCAGAAGATGGACATTGTGGTTAAATTACGAGTCCTCATTCTATATACAACCGCAGACATTCTTCCCTTTTGGAGCGAGTTGCAGTTCATTCTGACTATTGTGAATCAGTTCCGCTCGTAAATGCTGTATCTCCGATCTTGTCGAAGCCTGTGCGTGCCTTGGACTTGTCCCTTGACGCCCTTCAGTCTATTCTTAAACGGTGGGCCATTGGGCCTAACTTAACTGCTTAACATTATTTCAATCGTACTCGCCCCATATATCAAATTCGATGGACTACAGAATATAAACCAATTATCAGGGTCATGCCGCCAGGGTAGAAAATGTACCTTGTACTCCGTACAGAGTACGATATCCTGGCATTTGCTGAATCATTGCCGATTGTGGATGATGTCGATGCGGCGTCGGAAGTTCGGTCATCAGACCAACACTCAATATGCTGACTCCCACAGATGCACACTTGCTGCAGTGAAACTTATGACTCTGTGGGGCGCAAATATGATGGCAAATGTTGACTTGAATTTTCAGAATCGCTCGACGATCAGGTGGACGGCTGGGCGTGGACTGTGGACTGTGGATGCTTAGCCCGCTCCCCATACGAAAGCTGGCCGTGTCCAATTTGATCGACGATTTGCTCCATGTCTCGGAGGTATTGCTATTTTTGGTATAGGAGATATCCCCAAATCCAACCTCAATGGCTCCTGCGGTGCTTGACTCTTGTGGCTCGTCGTTTCGCATTTGCTTCATTGGTTGAACGAGTGTAAGATCAACCGGATCAGGGACGTGGAGGTTCCGTCGCCATAAGGGTAGGAAGAACCCTGGCATTGAGGAAAGGATTCCTTTGCTTGGATTCCGTCGCATCAACCCAAATCAGTTGCGGAGCCTCATGAGAGTGCGTTCCTGGATACTATTCTCAACTCTCAACCGTCTAGTGTATAGGTGACGTCGCAAACACGATGCACTGTTGCGGGATTAGCCTCCGGTCAGGACATCCCACTTCGCAGTTTGCAGGAGAGGTTGAATCAATGGTCGTTTTTGAAGTTGTGCTCGGAAGAATGGCATGGTGTTTGAGTGCTGATTCGAGATGATATGTGACGGTAGATTTCTGAACCATTGATACTGGACAGCCATGCAACATGAACACGCATGACAGGCTGCCCCTGTATCGTTCCCTGCACTTCAACCAGCATGGTGTTCCTTGGGGCTGCCGGCCCCTCCGTGCAACGGTGCAAGTACTGGGGTCTGGGGGTCCATCGGTGTGAAAGTGAATGCAGGTGAGAAGATCCACAACTGTTGGTGTGTCAGTGCTTGGAGCAGTAGTGAGCTCTCATTTCTCATCTCTTGACTCTACTATGTACTACTACGTATGTACGGAATATCGATTGGAGATATGCTGCTCTCTGATGCCAACACAGAGATTGTCGTTCAGCGTGCGCCTCCGGATTGCGAGGACCTCTGTGCCAAAGAGGACGCCCAAGGCATAGCACTTGACGGTGATGCCATGGATCGTTGGAGAGGGGATGAAGGTTCTCGGTGTCGTATTAATAGAGCTCTGGTATAGGCAATCTCCCGTTCATTTCTAGTTTCCTCGTTTGGCGCCCACTAGCCCCCTGGAGTATGGGAGTCTGGAGACTGGTGTTGCAGTGACAGTTGCACTGTTGCTGCCATTGGTGCCAATATACGTAAACAACCTTCAGTGTAATCCGTCATTAGACTACGATAGAACACCATAAGGGATATCTGCGGAAAAGTGTGAGGATTTCAGCTTTTCGGCGAACATGAAAGTTCTAGTATTACACCTGGAGCCCAACTGATAGCCTAGGACTGGACGGTACCAGGCGAACAGCAGTGCTCCCCCAGCTCGTCAAATTCGAATTATTCCGGGTATAGGCCAGATGCAATCTGCACGCAGTCATATAGGCTACATCACGACGATTCCGAAATTGCTATGTTGTTGGCTTGTTGATAGCTGTTGATAGTTGACAGCTGTTGATAGTTGATCCTAATGATATGATCCTAATGATAGAGACAGGGAAGAAGCTTGCAGACACCACGTGGCTCCAGGTGTGGCCTTGCCTGCTCAGGCAAATCATATCAAATCCTCCTGTATCAGAATTCCGAATTTACAGATACCTGGATGGATTCAATCTTCAATCAACCTTCCATCACCTTCCTGGGGCCGAAATCTCGAGATCGCCACCCTACATCCAGTCGTGAGTAACCTCCAGTCAAAGATACGCTCCACTCCTGTGATATATCATGTACTATGTATGGACTGAGAGCAGGGCCTCTGAATGGGATACGTATACCATGCAATTTCAAGGTTCAGAGATGCTTAGTGCGATGTATACATTTACTTACATTCGCAACTTCCCGCACGGCTTGATCATCTGCCGGCAGTCAACAGGCCTTGCTCACTGTACGCAGTGAGCCACTCCAATGGCAACCCACGCCACTGCTGATCCCTCTTGAATCTCGGGCGCAAGGTTGGACTCCCTAGAGAAGGATAATACCAAACCTTGAGCAAGTCAAAAAGTTCCCAAAGGCCACCAGGCGCGCGGCTGTGTTGCCTAACCTGGTACACGCTCTTGACACCTCTGTCTACCATACAGCCGGGCATATGTCTCATCACTTCACCTGTTTCACCACGGATTAAGTCACACAACAATACGCAAAATTAGGACCATCGTACCATGCCTGCAGATGCAAATTTCGAGTATCCAAAGCCCGAAATTATGGCCGAGACAGGTCGAGGCAGGTCGAGACACACGGAATCTCTGGGAACGAGATCATGGGGCGGATGACTGCAGATATTGCACTTCGACCAACCAGACTATCATTGCATCTTACACATGTCCTCCATCAAGTCCCAACAACCGGGTGCCCATCTCGGCGCTTATCAAGTCGCGAACTCTTTGCTGCTTGAAGTCGATTGGACATGAGAATGCGATTCACGAGGAGCCGATTAATTGCCCATATCAGGATCCCAGTCGCTCAAGTTGACGATCTGCGTGGGAGCGTCGGCCAAAGCCGTGATCGACAGCATTATTCCGTCATGCTACTTGGATATCGAGTATTCAGATGTTCCCGAATTTGGGATATCAGGATGCACTTCTCCCGTTCTCAACCACTTCAATTGCCGGACTTGCGTTCGGTCGTTGAAGCGGAGCCTAGGGCAGGGAATATCAACTAGCCTTGCAAGAAAGAGGCAAGGATTCCACTCGCTCGTTCAAGACGGGCCGCAGTACTCCGCACACTCCGCAGTCCGCACAGGACGGAAAAGACGCAGGCACGGCTCGCGATTGCGCAAGCCACCAGTACCCGGCATTTCTTGTCAAACTGACCTCGAATCCCTGAATAATAGCCTCTTCTTCCCCTTTGAAAGCCGTGCTGGCTATCACCGATCACAACATCATGTTCGGATTCTTACAGACAGGGCTATGGACCGGGATTTCGAGGTCTCGGAAGTTCGGCCAACAAGGGACCCTCCATTTTAACGCTACCAGTACGATAGGTCATAGGTACTCCGTATTACCCTGCTGGATGTCATGGCGAGATCTGGAAGAAGCAAAGAAAGTTGACGGTTGCCAAGCACTAATGGCGCCTTTACAGTTTAATGTCTGCCTTTATGCCCTCAGAGACATTGACATACTATATATATTCGACGACGAGTCTGTTGTTTGGCCGTACCGTTATCATCTCCGATCATGGTTGATGAAGTCGATTGCGATGTCGGCGAAGTTTGTTTGATGGTTGTCGTCCGTTGCACATAATAAAATGTGCTCGTATCAGCCATCCAGTCTTGGGCGCTTGCGTGGAACTGGAACCCACATTCCGGGGATGGGCACCCACATTCCGGGGATGGCAACATCAAGGCTGCTGAAAATGGCTCTCGATTCTCAACGAAGACAAGAGTATACCCTCCAAAGGGACTCTAAAGGACTGACGCATGAAGGCATGTACCCTAGAACTGTTTTCTGCACCAGAAAACGCGACAGAGACAGTTATAATTGGCACACTTGAGTTCCAGACCGACTGCCCTCCGCTAGCAGTTGCCTGAGAACAGATATCTCCTTAAACAGTCTCAGCTATCACCATGTATGCACGGTAACATGTGCTCTGTATGAGAACTTACGAGGCAAACATCAGACATGGATAGGCGACCAAGGACTTGGAGAGGTGTGCAATCCTTGCAAGCTTCAAAAGACATGAACCCACCGTCCCGCACAATCGACTGACCGAGTCCAAATCCTGCCAGTGGTTGACGCTCCTGATTCCTGAATCAGATCAATCACCAAATGATGGGGGCAATGAGCTTCGTCCCCACATCAGACTTAACCACCGACGGATGACTGGTGAGTTATAACTTGTGCAGCAACTAATCCCAAACATGTCAATTACAAGGTCTCTAATATGCAGGACTAAACTAGGAACTAATCCAAGCATCGTTGCATTCTGCAAAATTGCAATCCAGCAGGCAGCACCGCAATGACGGAGCGCCATTCCGTAAGTGGCCATGGGAAACACGAGGTTCCTGACTTGTGAGGAGGTGGACCGCTCAAAATGATGCGCTCATTGCCCACTCGGAGCCTGTCGGAGATAATGGAGAGCCTCCTATTCAGTTGCCCCGACAGAGTGGGCATATCATCACCCAATCCACTCGCAATCCTTACAAGTTACAACAAATGCTGCTGGCCTGTTGCTCATCACTCCAGTACGGCGGAACGCCCCTTGCCCATGCAAAAACGGACGCTAACCCAAGGGACTTTTCATCCAGGTAGTTCAGCCACACATTGTTCAGTTGATGGCATTCGTCGGCCTGTGCTTCCTGTCATGCTGTATTCACTATTCAGTATTCCTAATTCCCTGCACTCAGGTGCTGGGAAGTGGGAAGGAGATCCAGGTCCCCCAGTGGGGTGGGGTCCCCAAATATCATCCACCAAGCATAGGCGTTGCTGGCAGTCCATTTTCGGGGCAGTTGAACACAATTCATTATTCAGTTCCCGCCGATAAGGCACAAGATCCCAGCCATGAGCTTCTCCCGCGAACCCGCCCCAGACAGCGAACTGTGCTTGAAGCCGTCCGCATATCCGTGTAACGACCCAGACTCTCGGGAAGGCGCACTAGAAACGAGAAGTCACGGAGCACTGAAGTCTGAAGGTCAGTCAGACCAGAAATGAGAAAGCATGCTGATTGCTGAAGAATTAAGCACATCAATCGGACTTGCGCCAGGGATTAAGCAGGCCATCAATCGATGCGGAAACGTACGGCTGCCATGCTCTTAGTCCAGGGTCAAAGTTGTGCAAGGGACTCAAGTACAGAAACTCCCCCGCTGGCTTCGGCTGGCAACTTTTGTTGAGTATTATCATTGTTGCTTTAATACTGTTGTGTATATTTAGACTGTGCTTCATAGCCAGTGAAGGCATGAGTTCCCTTTACCTTAGAGATCCGTCATCACATACCTCTCCTTTAAATCCCTTGGTTCCCTGTTCGTCGACCTTGTCGCGGATCAAACTCAACCAGCATCAGGTGCTCTTTCATATCTTCTCGGACATCGCTGTGACAACCATTTTACTTCCTCAACATCAAGTCTCCCTTCCTAATCGGGAATCTTATCTACTCGGCAATTATTAATCATCCGTGCTCATCCCCGCCCCTTCGCTTCTCCCAGCTGTCGATCGTTCTTCACGGAAAGGTGTCTAATGGCATAGAGTAGAATTCTGTTCTATTGAGCCGACTCACTCACTGGCTGGTTTTTTTCTTCTATTTCGATCCTTCGTCCTGCTAAGCGAGAACATGGCTGGGCATTATCCATATCCCCATGGTGCTCCATCCTACCATATGAACAGTGGTCGGCCTGTCTACCAACAAGAAAGCTTCATTCCTGGCCTACAGCCATACCCAACCGTATCGTCCAGACATCGCAGCTATGTCGAGTTCGAAGATGGCGCGAGGGGGCTTTATGCTCCGCAAAACTCTGGCCGGAGTAGGAGAAGAGTCGGGGCTGGTGGGGAGCATGTCAAGCATCGCAGAACCCGCAGCGGTTGTTTCACTTGTCGACATAGACGAGTAAAGGTAAGATCCCACTGATTCATTCCCGGAGCACTGTGCAGTATTGACAGTCTCCGAACAGTGCGATGAGATACACCCAGTATGCGACCGTAAGTAGAGACAGATTACTTCGCTGTAGTTTTGCAGCCACTGACTGCTCCCGGCACAGGATGCAGGAAAGGCAACCGAGAGTGCAAATGGCCCGAAGCTAGTTCATCGTCCAAGTTCCGGCGAGGCTCCCGATCAAAGGTATCTTCCGAGAAGGAGAGCGGGTCGTCCGGCGAGGACGCGGAGCATGAGGAAGTGGACGTTGAAGGCCTTCCAACCATCAAAGACGAGGATGATGGTGCTGAAGAGTCTTCTCGGACCTTGGCCGACTCTGGTGATGTATGGGCGTTACCCGAAATCCTGCGGGATGGCTCCAACACACCGTCACTGACGCACGACAAGAGTCCTACGCCTTCGACCGAAGGCTCGACGATGGCCAGCTCAAAATCGCCGCTAAAACGAGCCAGCCTAAGCAGCAGTAGCATCAGTCTGTCAGAAAGATGGACGCAGTTACCGGAAGACATGCAGTTCTTTTTGGACTACCACCAGAAGAATATAAACTTCAACCATTACGCCTTCCTCTTCGACGCCACCTTTTTGAAAACGAAGTATTTAGAAATTGCGCTGCACCATCCGCCTTTAATGAACGCCGTGGCCGGATTCGCAGCCTATCACCATACTGTCAGCGAAGGAGAAGGCAGGGTAGAAGACTTTTTGTGTTACTACAACAGATCAGTTACTTTACTGAGACAGTCATTGGAGCAAAGCACGAGACACTCCAATGCAACGTTGCTGACCATCCTCCAGCTAGCTTCCACAGAGGTATGTTGATTGTCTTGTATCATTGCACGGAGCTGACGATGCTCGCTAATAGGAGTTCCTCGGCGACTGGGTCAACTTGATGGGACACCAAAGGGCAGCTTTTGAAATCATTACAGAGCTGTACACGCCGGAAACTATCATGCAGACCGATACGTTGCGAGTTATCATCACCTGGTATATTCGCTTCGACCTTTTTGCAGGCCTCCTTTCTGGGAACGGGTCTTGTCTCAACACCGAATGGTTTGATGCCTATTACAACTACTACCTTCAACAAATGAGAGATCATCCCGGTGACCTGAAATGCTTGTTCGAGGAGAGATTTGCATTCCAAAAGCTCCTGGGAGCGCATATGGCCATTGCTTTTGCTCGGAAAAAGAACGGTACGATATCCGACAAGGAGTTCGATCGAATTACCGATGACTTGAATGAAAAGATCAACAATTGGGATGCGAACCTCGACCCTTTCCTGACCGACAAGACGAAGATGATCAACGACTTTTCTGGGGCACCTCCGCGTGATCCGAGCGAGATCTTCGACCCCTACGAACCTGGCTACTTGCATAGTGGCGAGTTCTTCCCGATCAACTTCCTCCGCATAAGCATGTGGAGTGTACAGCTCGTGTTCGCTCGGCACATCGCTGAAATCCACCAGAAACCTCTGCCCCCTGGGATTCATCAGATTGCCCTGGACACATGCAAAATGTTTTTAGCAATGCAACGGTGTCCTCAGAGTCCCCCAGGCACGGTGCTAGGGATCCAGGCTAGCTTCGCCGTCGCAGTTGTAGTGATCCAAAGGGAGCCGTATGTTAGTTGGATACTTAGGAAGATGGCAGAAGTCGAAGCGATGGGGTGAGTTGACTTGCATCTCGCATACTCTGTAATGGCTAACCGAAGCGTTTTAGGTACAGTTATCCTGTCATGCTTCGTTTCCAGCTAACTGAAAGCCTCGGGATTGATGTTCGTCACTGGTGGCTGCCGAACAACGAGGGCTTTCCTCCGATTATGCAAGCAGTTCGACAATTTGTCACCGAGCGGACAGCAACACCTCGATCGCCTGCTGCGGAGGACCTACATTCCTTGAAAGGTATCTTCAAATCACTGAGTCTACACGAGGATGGCCAGCATAGTACCGGCGGTGCAGAGCCAAAGATTGCTGGAAACTCCACGCTCTACGGCGAAAGTCAACATTTCGCCCACGACTACGGTAGCCAGTATTCTCGATGATACTCACGATTGCATCCTCGCCATTCAACACTCCGCAAACATGAAACCATGCGGAGGAAGCAACATTTCCGCCAAACCTGTTCTTGGAGATGTGCGTTATGAAGCGGATAAATTGAATCTGGCACCACGGGTGAATTCCATGGTACCGGAAATGAGCTGGTTACTGTACCGTCTGGGATGGCGAATCATCGTTGCGGACCCTCATGCCAATAAATCCTCCTTGCTGGAACATGGAAGCCATTAGGTATCTCGAAGTCTCGAGGGCTTACAGTAGTTCATGGTGCTGATGGTGGCCAAGGGATCCCGTCCTAGTTTCGAGCTATTATCGGGAGATCCAGTTCGATATTTGCTCTCCGTTGTCGGCTTAGGTGCCTGTAATTCAACTTTCCACTTCATGTTTTCATTTCGAATCCGATCTTCCCACGGCGCATGTTTACCTTTCTTAGTATACCCTAGTAGTTTCAGTCTTATTAGCCGTATTTCTACGCATCTCTACGGCGAACATGCTCGGTCGCCATTTATTCAGCTATAGGAGAAACGAGATTCGCATGGTTGATGAGATTCTTTCGGATCTGGAGCCACAGTTGATAGCTGCCATGATCCGCTTCCATGTATTCTTTGGTTATGGATTAAAATATACGGCATACAGAGCTTGGTTGATGGGGTCCAAACAACGACTGCGAAACCATTGCCGAGATTGTCTCCAATCGGCGAGCGGCGCCCATGTTAGAGCAATATGATTATTTCTCTGTTTATGTTTTTTCTCCATTGTTATCCATTCTGCGCATATGGCATACTCGTAACATACCATTGGCTTTGCATTGTCGTGGCTGTGTGCTTTGAACATCCACACGTATATCCGCTATCACCTCTATCACGAACTCCAAAGCATCTGAACCTGATATGCTGTGAATACGTCAGGATACGCTCCATCACTACATCCGATATGCCTCGTATACGAAGAGCCAACCTATGTATTGCACCTTTCCGCTGCTCAACCACGGGAGAGATGTACTTGACCTGTGGCACAGTATCTAATCTGGTGTTTCAATTGTCGTTGTCGCCGTTCCGCTATCCGCATCTTCGGGTCGTACGATCCGCTTCGCACCACCTGACAGTTGTTCTCTCCCATGGCTGTGACAGAGGCCATGAGTTGCCGACATTTGGCGGCTGTGGATGTACTTGTTAATGATTAGCGGTGGAAATCATTACCAGCGGTGATTGACACGTCGATCTCGCCTGTATGCAAGCACGCGAGCGATGTTGGATCCCATGTGGTGGGTATTCTCGGACTGATGATAAAATATGTGTCCAATGGTCCAGACACCAGTCGCACTTCACCATTCTACTATGCATATTACCCCAGCTTTTCTAGGCCGTATTCGACCCCTCCCGTGATGTCATTGCTGTGAAGTGCCCTCGAAGTGGGAATGAGATCCCAGCCTCGCATTGACTGATATGCATATCGCGGATCCTGTCTCAGCCCTCCACGATCCTGCCCGCAGTCCTATGTCTCCGTGTAACGCTTGCTGTGTGACTGTAATCCGCATCCATGACATTCCTTTCCGCATGGCTCACGTTACACATATTACAGAACCGTGCATGTACTCGATAAATAGCACCAATTGATGTCCCACCGGGCTCGTGCATGGCGGGAGTGGGTGTTTGAGTTAGAGTTCCCGATTCGTGCAATCACACGATCTTCTCGATGGCACAAACTTCGCTGCTCGGGTTAACAAGTACCGATTGAATTTCTCTGTGCAATGAACGTGTTGGTTGGCGTATTGGATGCGGGAGTGAACCGTCGAACGAGAGTTTGGACACTTGGTCATTTTGGTGGATTCCCCATCCCTACTATCAGTGAGGCAAGCCATCGTAGCGCTATGATTCTGAAGGAGCACGTATATACGGGGTCGTGAGAAGCTCATGTTCTTGATATGGTATCAAGAACAGAAGACTAGCTTGAAGTGACGTGTGCGGTCCGGTGTCCAAAGAATCGGGAGGTAGGAACGGGAGATTGCGTTCGTGCTATGTCAGAATGCGCACCGCAAGCCGCATTTTCACGGCCTGCTGCAAGGCGAGATCATATTCCTCGTTCGCTCACCAACGGTTTGCGGAAACTATTGCTAAATCTTAGAAGTGCACCGATGTCCACGGCTTGCCTCCCCATGGCGAAACCCACGGCGACCCACGTTCCCTCTTCCATATTACATATTTAGGAAAACATGCAAAAATCAGTAAGGTCTTCTCGGCGATGTATATGCGCCAAGGTGTGGATACCTGGTCTTGAGCCTCTCCATGGCATAACATATGTATTGTTGACTGAAGTTTGCTGTATTAGTTCTCGGGTAGTCAATCAACAATGCGTATTAAGTACTCATCGTCGAGTCCAAGCGGAGAAATCGAGGGCAGGGCAACGGCGTACGAGGATGATACATCACTTTCATGACGTTCGACAAGGGAATTTCCCAGTAGAACAGACAGACACGGACAGGGAGGAACCATATGCAGAAAATATTCCCGGTAACATTTGATAATTGGCTTGGCTCTTGCAAGGAAAATCCGCCTAATTACTGACAACAAAGATCCAATCCGGTCGCCCACTCTGGCAGACGCCTCCGAGAGCGGGTTGACAAACTTTCAATAAACGCCAGAACCTATGAAAATCTGCAGGCAGCCTCGGTGAATGTCGAGGTTTGCCTTGCGGTTGATAGTTGCCCATTGCGCTGGTATTGAGCCAGGACACTTACGATGGTAGTATTCCCACCAAGATAGTACATCACTGGCATCTATGCACCTTCACGACTCTGCCTGTAGCTCGCCTGTGTGGTTGTTCAGCAAGTGCACCCTTGTGGATGGAAGGACAGCGGAAACTTACCTCCTGTTCAACTTGGAGCTGGTCAACAAGCGGGCCGAGTTCAGAAAGGATCTCATACGCCTTCTTGTGATATTCAATTTGAGCCGCAATCAGGTCAGCAAGATTCCGCAGAGGCTCCGGGGTATCAAGGACCTGCCAAACTGTTAGCTAACATCGCCTCGTGAATATCGCTCAGAATCGGCAGCGAAATAATCAGATGCTCGCCCAACCGGTTAGATTTGTACTCACATTCTTCATAACCCCCACCGCCTCCTCCGTCTGTCCCACAAACTCATCCTCTGCAGCCTCGATCTGGGCCCTCGCCTCCTCCGACAGCGGCTCATCATCCAACGCGGCCTCCTTCTTCGGTCCTCCTATCCCAAACGGTCCGCTCTTCACCTTCGCCTTCGTCGCATCGAGGCTCAAGCGCGAATTCTCGACCTGCTTCCGCGCGCGCGTCGCGAAGTTCAGCGACGTGTTGAGCGTCGTGCTCCAGCCGGCGAGGAACCGCGCCTGGATCGCGGCGTCCTGCGTCAACCGCGCCTCGCCGACTTTCTCGGACGCGATCGCGTACTTCTCGAGTGCCGAGGCTAGGGGGTCTTGGGTGCCGGAGCCGGCGCCGTCGGCCTGGCGGAGAGACTGGGAGCTGGAGATGGAGGCGCGGGCGATGGCGTGCGAGAAGGTCTTGGGCTGGGGCTTCGCTTGGGGCGGGGCGGTCATGGCGGCGGCGGCTTCGGTGGCGGAGTGGGCTTGGGAGAGGAGGTTGACCTTCTCGGAGACGGTGCGGCCCAGGTCGTTGAAGGACTCGCGGAGATTGGCAGGGTAGTCGTAGGCTTCGTGGGAGTATTGAGATCTAGGCGATGGAGGTCAGGAGGTGGGCGGAGCTGCCGTGGTTTCGGTAACGTACGTGACCTGCAGCATCTGCTGATGGACTTGCTTAAGCGCATCGACGCGCTTCTCCAACTCGATGTAGTCCGGGGGGAGCTCAGTCTGGCTCAGGAGTCAGGTGAACCGTCGACTCTGCAATTCCAGATGATGATCAGGTGTAGACATACCTTATCGTCCACCTGGCCGAGTTGTTCCCTCACATATTGCGATGTCCTGTTAAACTGCGGCATCACCGCCGCCCTATACGAGCCTGTGTCAGCACGCGGGGCGTTCAAACGGAGGATTGGGAAGGCCGGAGACTCACGAGAAATTCTTCCCGAATGCTTGGAACTTGTCCATCTTTAGTATGCTAGATGTCCGGAGATTGGTGTGGGAATATCGGAATATCGGAATGTTTTGGATGCTAAGGTTGGTGGAGGCGATGATGGTTGGCGGTTGAGCTGTAGTTGGACGGAGACACGAGCAACGTGAACTGTTGCACTGGCGCTGATGCACGTGCTTGCCCTGTATCTGATTGGTGCCTCGATGCCTTAATTATTTTATTATTTAGACAGGAGACGTGAGGACTTTCAATTCACGTGCTCCAACCAACCCCCTGATCCAGATCCCTGCAACCCTTCCATCCCTCAGCACTCCAACAGTCAGTCACACTGAGCAGTCAGCTTGGTCGATCGTCATCAAATGGATTCAATCCCCAACCACTTTTCGCCCTTTTGGGTTATCTATTGATATCAGCAATCAATGCTATCAAATGTTAGCCGACCATTGCTACTCCGTAGCCTTGACATAATTGCAATTTGCTTGCTGCTGCTGGTTCTGGGGAAGTCTTGGACGCTCTGGGCGAGAGGAAGTCAGGGCCAATCGAGGACGAGACCTTAGTTAAAGGGACTGGTAATAATCGCTACCTTGGGTTATCGAGGGTTAGCTCCCGAGTCAGCGATTACCGTTTGGTGCTCCTGTTGTTAGTAAGTTGGTGAAACTTGGTCGTATACTAAAGGACGTCAAGCGTGCAGTGTCATTTATCTCGTCTTCCGATGGTTGAGACAAAATGGAATATCAGGTTAGTTGAGATATTGGTCGGACATCACAAGTAGAATAATGGACATGATCATATACAACTCTCTCAAATTTATCGACATCTCCAAATCTAGTAGATATTCACCAACTAGATCGACTAGTTCCTATTTTCGAATCCAAAAGGAACCCAATCCTTGCTGTCGTTTTATCATAGCCGCACCATTTGCGAACTCTATTGTGCCACGCCTGCCGATGGGACCATGTAACGAATGGTCAACCAAGGCAGGCCGCGAAGTTAATATGGACATCTGCCGACGCGACCACTAACGAATGAATGGTCAACCAGGGCAGCGTGCCTGGAAGCGAAAGAAACACCGAGAACACCAGCTGGTGAGGCATGCCAACCCAATGCATGAACGAATGAAGCACAGGTTTGCAGTATTGTTCAACCGAAAACGACCCGGGCACACCATTTAGTGGCCGCCACGTCGGTGGTGCACATGCCTCGCGGCATGGCGGGCGGGGAACTGGTACTCCTCCGTCGTGGTCGACGTCTCGGTGACAGTGGTGACGACGGTCTCGACATGCTCGGGCGCAGGAGTCGGGGCCGGGCTGGGCGCGACGTTATTGCCTTGGGCTTCGGCGGCCTTCACGGCCGGCTGGAAGGTCTGGGCAGGGACACTCTCGAAGGCAAGAGGCTCACCCGCGGACGGAGTGGGCACATCGGACGGAGACTGGATAGGCTTCTGCTCTCCACCGCCGTTGGCGGAGTCGGCACAGAGGTAGAGATGGATGTCCGCTCCCTCAGGGCAGGAGCGGGACGCCCAGTCGTCATTCCACTTGTTGTATGCACCGGCGCACACTTCGTGGGCGGCGCACTTGACCTCGGGGCAGCCTTCCCCGCTGTTCATGTACATGGGGTACTTCATCCATGGGCAGTCGTCGTTCTGGCAGTCGACGAAGGAAAGATCATACCACAGGTGACCGGCCATTTCACCACCGACGGTGTACTCGAACTGGGCGATTTGCCCGGCAAGCTGGTCTTCTTTGTTGATCTTGATTGAGACACCGCCGGCTTCGGGTGAGCGGCACTCTTCGTTGTAGTCGCCGCCGCTTTCGATCTGGGTCGAATCACCCGGGGCCTTATCTGTATCCACCGACCAAACGTGGACTGGGAAGTCACACTTGTTGTGAACGTAGGCCTTGGAGGCCTGGGCCACAGGTGCGGCGGCAGCAAGGAAAGCTGCTGCGGAGATGATTGAACTGCGCATGATGTTGGATTGGGTGGTTGGCTGGTAGTAAAGGAGTGTCTTAGAAACGATAGGACTGAGTTGGAATAAAGCCGATTGAGTCGAAGGTCGATCGATGAACCTGATGAAGCAAGAGAGAGTGATTGCTTTGCAGGTGAACGTAAGTCAAAGAGTGACTTTCTGTATGTTGGAATGTGTTACAGAATGAATGAATGTTGGTCCGTTGCGGTTGGAGGGAAATCAGGAGTCGGATCAGGGGCACTTATAAACCACGCTACTGGCCACCACAGGGAAGACTTTTTGCCAAGTGGGTCATGGAGGGTCGATAAGCCGCTGGGCGACCGCGTCAGAGGAACCAAATCTCGGGGCTGGCGAGGAACGCCAATGAAATTTCTCGAAGGGGGCGATCGCGCTGCAAGCCTGAATTCAGGGCACCTGGGCCGTCCAATCAGGACGACATTGGAGATTGGTTTGAACCAGGGAGACTGTGGCTCCAATCCAGGAACATCCAGGAACGCTGTATCGGGCGGATTTCGAAACAGAGTGGTTTCCAATTCAATATGCCAGTTGCCATTTTGATTCTTCATGTGCAGTGCAATTAGGCCAAATCTGTCCATATTGCATGTTGGCAGGGAAAAAAACCACAAGATCTGAGGCCTGAGGGTCGTTTAAGCCCCATGGGGACGGTTTAACTTACGTAGTGAAGACATTCTGGCCGCTGCATGATCGCACCAACAATACTGCGTTATTTTAAAGACAAGGAGCAGTTATGTAATCGTATTTACGGTAAGCCGAATGTTTGATTTGGCATTGATTCCCTCCATGAGGACCATGACTCCCATCACAAATTTGCGATGTGGCGGAGCCGTTAAAGTTCGCCAAGTCGCTCAACAGTCAATAGAGTGAACGGACGCACTGAGGTAAAGTAAGGTTACGGCCCCCAGCGCCCAGTGACTGCGACGAACGTGTCCGCACAACGTCCTCTTGGCTCCGGCAGATCGTACAGCAATATCACCATTCACCAACATTTGGCGCGACTGGTTGGAGATGATGAGTGACACGCCAGCTGGAGAGCGACTACGGGGCGTTCCGAGGTTGGCTCCAAGGGGGCTCCACAGCAGGATCGGTTCCGGATTTGCGACATACATGTCGAATCAAGATAATAGACTTGGACGATAAGAATGGACTTGCACTAGGATTTCCGCTGGGATTCAAGAATAACATCGAAAGCAAGAAACCCAAACTCCGTGTATGAAAGTGGTTCTCACCTGTCGCGGAGCTGGCCACTCGCCTCGATGGACGGAAATCGTCGAGGCGTGACATGCAGGCGACCCTGGGCTGTCAATTGTCATCCCCGCCTGAATGGCCCCTCAGCCTTACAGTGCTGTTGGTCGGTCATTGGTGGCTTGGGACCCCCATCTTGCTCTCGTACCGCTTTTGGCCACCCGGTTCGCCCACGCCCCAGATTTCCCCAGAAATGCTTAAGGCGAGCTCATTTCTCGATGTTTCGAAGTTGAACATACGAAGATTCCGAATCGCGATGTTCTGTTAAGGTTGGCGTTTGTGCGACGAAGGCGACTGAGTGAGGCGACTGCTCGAGGCGACGGGAGGTACCTGTGTCTTGGGCCCTGGAGTCACGTGCCAAATATGCCCCATGCTGTAGTGCCGTACGGGATTCTTGATCTTTCACATTGCCTGCGATTCTATTTTGCCATCCACCCTCTTTTCTATCAAGATGTTCCATTTGTTCTTGCCTCGTTGTCAAGTCCCTTTTATTGATGGCGAGTGATCATGTTGCCTTGCTGGTAGGAAGCGAAGTCTGTAACAGCTATCGAGGTAATGAAGTTATGAGGATGTGACAGCTCACGATCTCCTCGTGCGACAGAACCACGATGACAGGACTTATCGATTCCCAGCCACCCTGTCCGTGGCTAATTCTGCTGTTGTGCTACAATCCTAAAACCTTAGGATATAGTACCTATTCTGCCATACATAGATTTGTGGATGCTCGGGATCCAATGACTGCCCAGCATCCTGCTTTGCTGGCAAGATACCATTGGATTGATATCACATCCCTTATGCGGTATTGCCTGTCTGTCATTCTCTAGTCTCCCCCTTTCATCTCAGCAGTAATACTTCCATTCAGTAATTCTCGCATCTGTGAAACCGAGTGATGGATCAGATTTCATTGGTATGTTTTCGAAAACCCATGCGAGATGCTCGAGATCAGGGCATCGATCTCGTTTTTTCGCTGGTCGTGCTTTGATTTCAGCTGGATTTTTGCAAGTCTCTACCTGCGCTGCGAATATCATTTGCGAGAGACGTTGGCCGTCCCATGGTGACCGTCTATCCTGCCAATACCAATTTCCACCCTCAAATGTTTCTCCTTGTTTCTCAGTGAGTAAAGATCATGGGCAAGCCTGGCAAGGCGCATGTTTCAAGAGGAGATCGCACGCACATTAGCGCATCATTGATCGACCCGAGAGTGATACCAGCATTGGAGATCAAGCAGAACGTCGAGGAACTTGCAGGGTCCGGGATGGTCAAGGTGTTCCGACAGCTGGCAGCCGGAAATCCGCGATACGAATACTAGGTCGTGGCATATTCGGCAGACCGAAAGAGTGATGCGCTGTCCAAGTCGTTTCCGTTTCATCTATAACTTGCAGGCCTGATAAAGGTCTCCACCAGTTCTTCTTCTGGAATTGTTCTGTCTTCGGTGGGTTGGAGTTCGTTCAATGCTTCTATTAAGGAGCTCCGAAGTCTAGAACAGATAGGTCTCAGCAGAATTTCCTCTTATACCTTCCATGCTGTCCACAAGACTCTCGAGCCTATCGACAGTCACCGACTTGTATAACCTATCACGAGAAACACGACTGGGCTAATCATGGCACTTTCCTAGAACACCATGCCAAATCCACACAGGAGGTTGAATCATTCAAAGTGATCGTCTCATTCTGAATAAGCGATCGCGGTTGAGCGATTTATGCTAGATTAATTCCGAAACCGGGCACATCGTACCGTTTCTCGTGGACATAATCATGCTGCATGACAAGACCGTGACTATACCGAACACCTCCCAGGCTGGCAGTAAAGCTCTGCCCATTACTCAGAATCACGTCCGTATTAATGTGAAGAATCGCCATGGTGTCGGAGGTACGGGGATCGACCCCTTCACGATGCTGGTCGTCTAGGCCGTCTTGTCATCAATACCTTTGAGGGTGACGTCACTATAATTCTCATCAGCTCAAGGATTCTATCAAGGTACTCGCTGGGATGGCTCACAAGATCAATGTTGCGTTCGGAGGGATGAGGCCGGGAAATCCCCTATCGCCATATGCATAGTCGCTTGATGATCCGTCAGCATCGTCCGGTCAAGAAAAATAACTCGTTCATACCCAGTGATGGTCAAGGTCGACTTTTCGCCCAGAGACATTCCCTCTGTGCTCGCGGTTCCAATGATCCCCTCATCCCAGCCTATCATCAATGTCAACTTGCTAGCTTAACAGTGTGAGTCTAGTGGCCTTGACCTTTGATAACCCTTCCGATCCCGATCTGTGTCTTGAACACGCCCCGGTTCTCGGTGGAGTCAAAGCTGGTCAAATTCAGTGTCCGCACATTCCGCTTCAGCAATGGCATCCTCACACGTCGCCCTTGTTGTCGGGCTTGCTTGGATCGTAAAGGAAGCCCTTGTATTCCATGGCGACAATCTGGCCCTTTGAAGGTCGATCGACGCCATTCCCCGCCTGCTGGACTTGTTTGGTCACACCCATGTTGCTCGGATGGAAGAAGGTTGGAAGGTTGTGTCAAGCGATGAGATCGACACAATCAGGATGGTGGTCTGGTAGAACGACACGAATTCCGTCAGTTGCAATCGGAGGGGGTGTTGGTAGGTTTAAAACACGAATTTCCAAACCTTTGAATTGAAAAGTGAAAAGTGATGATGAAATCGAGATGCCACGTCCTGTTTCAGCTGGCGGTGCGGAGAGGTGGGAGAATTATAACCGCAAACGCCGTCGTTGGTGAGACATTGCGCCTGCCAATCCCCTAGCGATTGCGTCTTGCCTAATCAACACTCCATTCTCGTCTCTTATTACAAAACAAATGTGATTAGCGCTACAGTATGGTCAAGGAGGGGGGGTTTGGTGGCTGCGGAGCGAGTGCGACTACTGCGCGTAGCAACGGAACATCCACCAGCCTAGACCATCTTCCGACTGGCATGGAACTATCGAACTAGGCCCAAGACCGGACAAGAATCGCAAGTTGACTCGCCGACTGGACAGGTCGTCCGGTCCCGATACTATTAATGAGCCATGGCTTCCTCGCAGCTGTCGCAGGGTGCTTCAGAGTTCAGACAGACCAGCACTCGAAGTCTCCAATCTCCATCCGAGTTGTGCGCCAGATGCGCCATCCGAGAAAAGCCACTCAACTCAACGTCGTGGGATTTCGAGATCAAATTCATCGCGATGACATGGTTCTTCCAATACTCATTACCCTATTCATTGTGGGGAACCGCGGGCCTCTCTCCCTCGTGCTCGACTGGACCGTCCTGGGGGCTTGAAGGTCAAATCGACCAAAGCGTGAATCGACTCCAAAGACAACCGCGTGAGGGGCGTCGAATACACTATTTGGGAAATCCAAGTGTCCAGTCATCTAGTCGTCTAGTTGAGAAGCATTTCTGCGCCACGTTCGCCAGCATGGGTTTCTACGCTTCGATTGAATGTATCCAAATGCTGCATCGGGTGCATCCATTGGTTCAGACTCCACACGTTGTGGAAAATACGGTGTTCCACATGAACGGCGCCCGGTCTTACTACGTAGTATGCGTTGTCCCGGATGCCGCGAGATTCGGTGTACGCTACTCATGCACTGTAGAATACTTGGCTGGAGCTGGTGCGACCTTGGGTTGGTACTTGGTAAGGGACTACGTACTCCGTAAGGGCAGCATTATTGCTACCAACGGTGGATACAGTATACGCATAGAATGACGATGATAGTGTGGGCACTGGGCAGTTCGCCACGACTAACAATGGGCTTTGAAGCTATACTACGTATGCCCCACCGAAGTCCTCGGTCATCCGACTTGATTCTACGAGGCCGAGCTCGTAGTGACGCCGCCACTCCGTGAGACTCCGCGAGACAGTGGATGGATGGCTACTCTCTCGACTCTCCAGGACCCGAATCCTGGCTATCAGCTATGGCAAGGCGTGAGTGGAGACTCCATTCCTATCCCGATCCCAGAATGCAACAAACCAGGGAAACTATGCGTTGGAATTGGACGTTGGGACTTTTGGAGTCCACCCTTTGAACCACTGGCTAACCATCGGCAGATCTCGGAAAGGAAGCCACCTAATAACGATCCTCCGTCGACCTTGGACCGAAGCCGATATGATTGACAAGGCAGACAGATCCTCACGCACGATCGGCCTCCAATATGGCCGGCGATTGCCCACGACAGCAACAATATGTAATATCTGACGGTTCCACTTGATCGGCAGTTTAAATGATTATCCAAGAAATCAAGAACCAAGATCTACACTAGTGTTTTCTGCAGCTACAGAGGGAAACTCTGTTGAGCGACTTAGGTGCTTGTCCAAGGCTCAAAGGTCATGCATGACATGGGATCCGTAGTAATGCTAATAACTATCAACAGACCAGAGTTGTATCCGTCTATAGACTAGGTCGATCCCAGACTTCGGGTTCGGTATTGCTTTGCCATCTTTGGTACGCTGGCTCAGGAGTTACGCATGAAGCCCTGGGCATATGCATCCTGGATTAACTATTGCTGCGTCGACTCTCAACCATACCTTATACCTGTAATATTACGGAGTCTTGCATTGTGGCAAAACAAACATGATATGCATGCGACCATGTCGACAGCATTCAACTGATGGCAGCTCTTGTCCACCTTGAAACCTGAGCAATTAGCACTTGGGAATCCGTTCAGACAGTTAGGGTCAGATCATCCGCCCCGAGAACTTTGCAGTACATTGATCATGAGAACATATTCAAACCATTCTGAACAACCCCGCTATGCACGGCGGTACATGGACTCCACAGATCTGGAAAGAGAGTATTGTCAGGACTCGGGACTCGACGAGAAAGGATTGTCGGGATCCACTACCTCCAATTGCGCGATTCCCCAATTGGCATCTGCCGGCGACATTTTTATACGACGAACAGGGGCAGATAGACTACAATTGGATTAAAGCTATTGCTCCGCGCATATAGCCTTCGTGCATAAGGGCAAGAATTGAAGTTGTAAAGCTGACATGAGACATCCTTCGAATGGCGCTTAACGCGCCTTGTCGTACAGGCAGAGTCCTGGACGAGTACGAGTAGTGGCCATACAAGCTTATAGTACACAACGCAAAGGGCCTGTAGCATGCGAACTTGCGGAGCCGCAACTACAGTTCCGACTTGAGAGAAGTCAAGGAGGGACAGCTTCAAGCTCTCTCCTGTAATTCCTGGAGCTACGGTACGACATCAGGTCAGTTAATAATATACATGCGCCGACGTAGTCAACTTGTCGCGAGTGGCCGGTCGACTGTCGCCAGATATTCAGATCGAACTTGTCCGGTTACAAATGGCCGGCATCGATACCTTGGACTTGGGATTCCTGTCGTGACTCAGTATCCCGCTTATTTCACAGCACTGCGTCTCACTAACCCCCGACCCGAATCTCGTTAAGCTCTGGGGGACCGTACCTTCGACGTACATGTATCAGTACAGGTCCCCACTCATTCCTTGATTTTCCTAAACAGGTCGGTAGGATGATTGTCGCATGTCAATCTAGGTTGAACCGGTGTGAACACCCTCTGCATACGGGACGTGGGGGATTGACATGGTTCTAGCATACGTAGTAGGGTTGGATTATGACCTGAGAAAGAGGACCTGGAGGTATCCCCTTGATGTCCAACTTTTAAGACCAGAAGCTCACTCATACGTCTTATCTCGAGTCACCTCCGTCCAAGTTACTCAATCCACATCGACTCGCATTTATGATTTTATCGATCAGTCAAGCATTCGAGTCTCCGAGCCTGCCGCGAGCCGTTCATATGTAGATAGTTGACGCGAAGGTCGCTTGCGTCAACTGAATCTGATATTGGGCAAGGTATCCATATACAGTGCTCCAGGCGTAGAATACCAAAGTTCCAGTCCACACAAGTCTATACTCCAGACGTCCATTGCAAGCAAACCCGTACAAGAAGCAATTGGTGCTGTTGGAATGGATTGAATGGACGTTGCAATTGTTTCATGTTTGAGGGTCGAATGATGAATGATGAATCACAATAATGTGAGAACTGACCAAGTGCTCCGATAACGTGTCCTGATTGGGTAATCTGCCTGCGCCGAATCTCAGGCAGTGATCGCCAATTCGTCATTCATTCTACGGATATGAGAAGTTACCAGATAACAGAAGCGCTGAACTCCGAGACTCGAAATCGTTCTCTTTGATCTTGTTGAGGATTGAGTCATCTCCCTTCTTCCATCGTTGCATCGTGTCTTCATTTAGGCACGCCTTCGGTTCCTTCAGTATCTTCCTCCTTCCATCCCGGAGCAGCCACGAAACGTAATTCGGACACAATGACCCCCCAGGGCCCCATCCTCCGCACTCTCCCTTCCGAGGAGATCGAAGCATGGACTCAGCAAACCGCTGCGGCATTATCCTCCTTCAGCATTACGGAACCTCCACGCGTCACGGGCGTCTCCCTGTCGATTCCCCTCGATGACGCGACCCAAGCGAATGTGACCGCCGAAGAGCGCCGGCGCACATCCACGGCCCAAACCCCAAGGCCTCGAACTTCTGGCGACACACGTCCGAGGGTGCCCGTTCGCCGCGATAGCCTCAAGCGCCGAGAGGCCTTGTTGCGAGGCAACGAGGGGAGCCGACGACGACAGCGATGGGAGAATGGTACGTTCTGACAGCGATTGCAGCTTTCGAACGACCACATGAGCGGTTTGTTCGTGTTCCTGACTTTCTCGAACTCACAGACCGGCTCTTGAACAACCCGTACGCTCAGCCACCGCTCCCTACCGACTGGGAGGTCCGTCCCACGTATCCGGTTCATGCGGTGCCATATTACCTCGCGCCGTTGTGGGACGCGCGTTTCGCCGCGGAGAACGCGACGAGGACGGCGAAGGCCCGCGTATCGACGCGTACAGAAGGCCAGACCGATGCGGATACCGTTGGCAAGATTCCCAAGGAGCTTCGGCAGAAGTTGAAGAAAGCCAAGGGCGCGAAGACCCTACTCCAAACGCTCGAGAAAGAAGTGCGCGTGTTCATCCGCGACTGGGAAGCGAACCGGGTGACGTCGACGAGAGACGAGTTCGGCGACATCGACTCCGAGGAAGAGGAGATTGTCTTCGTAGGCCGGTCGGGCGACATGAGCGACATGAGGGACCCGCGAGTGTCCGAGGAGCTGGAGCGGGCTATGCTGGTGCTCAATAGCCCAGCGGATGATCTCAGCGCGAGCTTTGGGTACGTTGACGCTTCCTTCCCCATGGGCCGAGTGATACTAATCATGCAGACGTTGGCTGGTGCATTCCATTGGCTCTTATTACGGCCTTCGCACCTGGTCGGTCACCGTTGGCGATCCGGCTCGACGAGAAGCCTATGTCGGCATCAAAGATGTCCCTGTGAAAACAAGCACAAGTCGACAACCCGACACCCTTCCCCGTCCTCTGTGGGGACTTGTTTAATTTCTTATAGCATGGTCCTTACATTTGGAGGCAAGGTGACGGGGTTGGAAATTTGGATGTCGCTCACCGCGCATCGAATATAGACTACACTGTTACAATCTTGCTTGTGGCATGTAGACATCTGTAATAGAATTTGTCCATTATTGCTGCGAACATCTTTCATATCATTCTCGTAATCTTACACATGCCTCTGCAGACAGTTCTACTATTGGGACCTCGACGCGGCCATACCTTGCTTCTACTATTTGGAACCTCGACGCGGCCATACCTTGCTTCTACTATTTGGAACCTTTCCTTCATTCATCCGTGTGGATTCCGTAAATGAACGGCATATATTCTTTCATATTCATGCAACTTGATTGAAGTCTGTTACATTATTTTGTATTTCTGTTTGAACGAGTCTCTTGCGTCACCATGTCCTTCATTCATGCTATATGTTCTACAGTATTGCGAGAGCCGCATTTGCCATGATATACTGCCCGGGACCACAGAACTAAGTGTTCATTGAACCGTCAACGCTGGCCGTATATGCTGTGGAGTGTCCTGTCAGCATGCCTCGCCTGCCAGGAGCGTGTTCCCAAAATTGGAAGTGAGAAGCAGAGCCGGAGCCGACACGGCTAAACATCTCCCATCGAAAGACCAAGTCGATCCGATCTACACGCAAGCTTTTATCATGATATAACCCTCTCAACCTTTTCCTCTAAACAAAGGATTCGGTTTACACTGACCCTCAACAAAGTTCGACTGAAGACAAGGTCGGTGTACGGGCAGAACACAGCACTCTCGTCCCTTCACACTGCCTACCCATGCCGGATACAAACCGCCCTCTCCCGATAGGACTGACATCCGCCTCTGCTGGCATCTACCCCCCGAGTTCCATCCACAGCAAGGCTACCTACTGTGCCCTCCGCTCCGAGATGTTCAGCCACGTCGGGTGGAAATTCGACTTTAGGGGCAACGCCGAGCGGTCACGGCTCCCTCTCGTATGTACCGCGCCAGATTCACACCAATGGACGGGAAAACGCCAGTGAACTGTCTAGATGGAGCTTTGGGTTCCGCACAATGGCTCAGGGACCAATTCAGTATCCGAACGAAACGCCCTGTTACAGGATATACCCCTGGATCTTTCGGCTGTGCTCTGAATATTCTACAGCATAGGATCGAGTGTGGTTTCCCGGACGCTTTCAACTCAAATGTTTTGTCCTGGTACCAAAGGTTCCGTTTTTAGGTCAGAGTCAACGTTCGAGTTGTATTGTCATACGTATTTCACATTCTACCCGTACATAACCCTATTCCTCCATTTAAGGTGGACGAAGTTGATACTCCTGAATCATCCCTCCAGAGGTTCAAGAACTCTGCTGAGAGGTATGATTCTCTATATGATATCTTGCCTTGCCTAGAGCTCATCAGGCCGTGTTGGCATGCTTATTTTGGTGTTTGATTACGTCAGATATGTTTTGCCGTCGGCTGCTTACTGCACAGGTTAGTTTGTTTATCCCATCACTCCTTGCAAACGCTCAACTCATCATCTTTTCCTCTACATGGTTGCAATTCGTCATTACTACTCGTAAATTCCTCTCCTAATAGAGCTGCAATGTGAGTACTGCCACAACCAATGATGAAGTCTTTGTGGAGCCGAGTTCTGAATCCCAACTATATATTTGCGTTTCACTTCCCAAACTTTCAAAATTTCTTACCATCCATCCAAAAACATCCACCCCCCAACCATAAAAGTTCATCGTTTCAAGGTTCACCTTGATTAATATTCTGCTTCAATACAATCTAGTTACTTGCATTCGATATCATTCAAAGAAACTGTCCCTTCCAACTCTCATCCGGAAAAGGTCATCCACAAAAACGATATTGTGCTCAAGCCAAAGCTTGAAGTTGGACTGAGATACACCCAAACCTTCGGGATGCAGTCAGTTGTTTGGAGCAAGAATGAATATCTAAGTCGCTTGCCTATGCCCGCGTGCTTATAATTTGATTCAAACAGCTGCTGTGATTTCGCTCATTTGACATAGGACATAACAACTGACTTTATATTGTGTTCTCTCTCCTATATTCCTTATATCTCTCCTAGACTTGGAAGGGAACCTGGGTAGCCGGATTGAGCGAATGGTGTGCGACGAGGCCAGTGAGATCTGCCATATAAATCTTACATGGCGCACTAGTGATAACAGGACTCCTGACCGAGCTGCGGCGCCCTGCCTAACCCCGCAACCACCAACGTTAAAGGGTGTTGGGTGGCCGTTATCGTGGCTCCTCGCAACAAGAGACCGCACGTTGGCCTACGCCCGGCCATCCAGAGGCGAAATTCGAAAGGGTTACCTCTCTGGGCACGAAATACGGTGATAGGAGGCTGCAACCTCAGTTTGTACATTGGTTGGCGGTGAGAGCGTGGCAATCGGATAGAAACATTCTGCGGATGTGCTCGCAAGTGGACGACCGTTTTGAGGTTTCGCACTTATGTCATGAAGCCAAATGTTTCCAACCAGACCACCTGGCGGTGGAGCCCCACAGTGTGAATGAGAAGCGAAAGGGGTGTCCTCGTGGGAAACCGTATATGTGTGTACACCTCATTTACCTAATGAAAGCCCTGCAGGGCGACAGCGTTTCTTCTGAACGGAGCTGGAGACTTCGATGCTTACGAGAAAGTGGCCAAAAGGCCTACGCTTCTGACACGGATGGACATCAGGATTGAGACACGGCCTTCCACAGTGCGTTGATAGCGATAGCGTCTTGCGTTGCTTTGGCTCGCCACTCTGGGGGAGCTGATGGCTGGGATGGTGGATATTACGTGGTTAGGTCTCTGACCTCGAAACAGTTTGTCTACCGTGTAACTAATCCAACTTCATCGACGTTCTTTGAAAAGACTTCCACCTGTAAAGTTGGATTACGTGTATCACCGTATCGGTGTTTATAGATAGTCAAATCAATATCCAAGATTCCGTCCGCCACTATTGCGAAACAAAGTGATGACGTGAGTGAGCTCAAAGCAAGCCATTCATGAACATGTATCATTGAGGTATCTTCGAGGTATCCAGCTTCGAAAATACCTTCCTAATAAACATGACCACGCTCCGTATATACAAGAAATGAACGAAGTATCATCAAAACTTCGCGAAAGCCAGCTCGTACGCAAACCCAAGTGTTAGCCTCGCGTGCTGCAGCATGTGGTCAAAAGAAAGAAACTCGATCTTGTCTTCTGTCGTGTGGATCTTCTTATCGGAGTACTGGGAAACGGTTAGTCTCATCCACACTAAAACCGCCGACTCAAGCTCACCTTGAAGTCACTCTCGATCACAAATGCCGACGGATATCCCGCCTTACTCGCACTCGCATGATCCGAGCATGCATACCCACACTTCGTCAACACATACGGAATCTCGCAGTACTCCGTTACCACCTCCTTGATAAACTCCGTCAACCCGGGATCTACAAAGTCGGTGATCACGCCTACGCTCTCCGGCTCGCCGGCATCTAGCGTATTCTGCACATAACCCGTCATATCCTGCTGCAGCATGGCCTTGACGAGCCGTCCCTCTTTCTGATACTGCTGGAAGATCGCCTGCGAGCCCAGCAGCCCACCTTCCTCCGCCGAGTACCAGTGGAACTCGACCGTGTTCTCCGCCTGGCCTTCCAGGATATCCGTCGACGTCAGCAGGACCCGCAGCGCTTCCAGGATCGTGACCGTGCCACTGCCGTCGTCGTCGGCGCCCGGGGCGGCAAGGAAGGACGGGAGGAACAGATTGATACTGTCCTGGTGGGCGCCGATGACGACGGTGTTCTTGGTCTTGCCTGGGATGCTCACGATGATGCTGTGCTGGCCCCACGGGTGAGTGAACCACTTGGCGGTGGTGCCTGTCGCATGCGCACCTGCTGCGGCGACTGTGGCGTTGACTCGTTGGAGGAGCCAGGCGCTGGACTCGGCGCCATAGTGGGACTTGTAGTAGCGGGTGTGGAAGGAGGTGAGGCCCTCGAGGGACTGGCGCATGTTTGTCTTGGAGAGCTGGGAGAGCATAGGCGCGACCGCTTTGCTGTAGGCCGGCTTTTCTGGGTATTTCACCGTGATGCTAGAGGCGGTGATGTCGGCGCCGAGGTCTTGGGTGTCGGTGATGTCCATGAAGTTGATGCCTTGCTGTAGCGGCAGTTAGTCTTTGCGCAGGTTGAACCAGTTGCATGGTCGACGTAATACCCTTCGGAGGCTCCATTTCTCATCTTCCGTTACCCACAGCGTCTCGCCGGGGCTGACTTCGATCAGGAACTGTTCATTCTCGCCGGATGCAAGCGGGGCCTGCTGATTGATGGGGCTCGAAACGGCGGGGTTAAGAATGGACAAGAGGAGAGTAGAAACAGGGAAGAATGAAAACGATTTCATCTTTGGCCGTCAAAAGCAAAATCGGATAGGAATATAGGAAAGGATTACTGGTGTTTAGACGAGGTATTTGTACCTTTGCAGTTTATAGATAGGCAAGTTGTACGGACAGGCAGCCTGGTGGTGACTGGTGAGCTGTGCCACATACCGTATCAGTACTTAGACGGAGGGCTGTAAGTTCAAGGGTCCGCCCGCCTGGGTAGACAACCAATCTGATGACGATGACTTTCCTGGAGCCGAGATCCCGAACCAGGGTTGCCTGGTTGGTTTCTATGGAGCGCAAGGACCTGGCAACAACTTCGACAATCAGATTGTAGAATCGATTAACTATTCTGAGTTACAATTATGAATTAATGTATCCCAACACGAGTGGTTCACATTTGACAGCTATTTGTCATCGCTTAGAGTTGGCGACATGGGAAAAGTCATCGCCGTTGACCTTCCATAGAAAACACTACTCGTACATCACTAGGGTACCCTTCTGCAGCACCTCCTTCATCCTCTCAGGCAGCTTGCGGATAGGAAGACTCAGGCACCATGATAGGGCTGGCATGAATGGAGCCGTCTTCTTGATCTGCATTAACCTGCCTGCTATCGTTACCTTCATCTTCAGGGTCCTCCCATATGTGTATCGCCGGACCCGAGCGCCGATTCTCGAAAAGGAAACTGTGCGCTTTACCTGCTTCACTCGGCAATCCCGGCGCAGACGAAGGTATTGGAGCGACTGCCCTGTGGAGGATAGAATCTTGTACATGGCGGCGGAGAGGCAATGCTTGAGAAGATTTTACAGGTAAAGACATTGGTAGGGAACTGGGATGGCTGCCTTCGGCGTCATGGTTCACAACTTGAGCCTGAGGATGTCCAGAGGACGGCTGGTTGAATTGCCCTATCATCTCGACAGCGGCGTTTGATGGCAGTCGGCTCCGACACGGTTCGATCACCTTTTCGTAAAGCGTGTTGATCATCGGGAGGTACCTTTCGTCGGCAAGCCAATCATGCTGCAATGCTTCTTCGGCGTCGACGCGCTTGGTTTCGTCCTCGTGGAGGAGTGCGGCTAAGAAGCTTTTCGCTTTTCGAGACAATCCTGCGGAGGACATGATCTTCCGGATGGAAGTTGCGCTTCGAAGAGACAGCGCGTGGCTGAGATCGGATCCGCGTAGAGGTACCTCCTTGTCGCGAACATTTGTGAAAGGCAAGGAATCGAGCAACAAGGATAGCGCTATACATCCGATTGCCCATATATCGATCGCCTTGGTGTATGAAACCGGCCCAGGCCCGCCTTTGGTATTGTGAAAATACGCCTGGATAAGCTCCCTATTCACCCAAGTCAGCGAGCTTATTTCCTAACCAGGCGGTTGTGTACTTACGGAGCGGCATATTCTTCTGTTCCTTTCGGCGAACAGCATCGCTGCTGGTCACTACCTGCGTCACCTAAATTCGTCGAGAGCTTCTTGGCATGGCCAAAGTCCGTAATCACGACTCTGCCGATCGGAGAACGGTTTGTTAAGAGAATATTCTCCAGTTTCAGGTCTCGATGAATGACCCTGTGGTCGTGGAGGTACTTGACCCCTTCAAGGATCTGTCTTACGATCATGATGGCTTCAAAATCATGCAACGGTCGTCGTTTGAACTCCATGAGGGAGTCAAGATCTCCACCGGTAAGAAGCTCTTGAAAAATAAACCTTATAAAATCAGATGCGTTGCAAAAAAACAACTACCTTAGTACGCACATTGTGTTTTCGCTTTTGAACACTTGCTCGATCTGGATGATGTTTGGCTGCAACAGATCAGATTGTTATGTCTCCCTGAATACAGTACTTTCTGACTTACATGATTCAGGCCATGCACGCATTCATACTCGCGGAATATCCTCTGCAATATAGTCTCTGCCTCTTCAGCGTTGTTAGACCTGTGCCGATATTGCTTGAGGTCGACGATCTTGCAGGCGACGTGGCGCTTCGACGGGACATAGACACCGACGAAGACTCTGCCGTGAGCACCATCACCCAATTGGCGGTCTGTGATGGCATATCTGTCACTGAATGCCTATATCGGTAGGATCTCAGCCGCCATGAATCAGTCGTGCTGGGGCTCCATGGGACAATACCATTTCCTCCCCAGTCCGAACACAACCAAGTGCTGGAACCTGTGAACCTGGGCCATCAATTTGAACAACAAGGACAATCGAAGCGCCGAGAAATAACAGATCGCAGTCATTGAGAAGAACAGGACCAGTACGTTTGCTGAGAGGATAGGACGGACTTGGAGAACAGGAACGCTGTAGCCAGGTACCGTTCGTTGAGACATCATGGACGTACACGAGCGATTCAATTTCCTGATCGCGGTAGGAAATGCCTAGAGAGATACTTTTGATTTGAACATGCTCGTTGGATATTGTGAAGTCCTCGGCTGATTGAGCATCGCTAGAGGAGGATTAGTTCCGTAACGCGTAATCGATAGACCTTGTGCAACCGACCAGAAGTCATATCGGCCCAATTGAAACTCTTCGTCTTCGTACAATGTCCTGGAGAATAGGAATCGAGAATGCTGTGTCAATTCTGCGTAGGTGATAGGCGGCCTTGCCTTTGAATTTAGAAGGACGCGAAAAGCGAGGACCTGCGCTGCCACCGACAGCTGACTACTACTGGCCATGGTGCATACTTGAATACCTATACTCATAGAAATGTTCCGATTGACTTCTCTCTTCGGCTAGATAGTCGTGGGAGGAAGCATGACTTAGAGTAGTGGTTCTGATTCCATGGGACGAAATCGAATGAAGCTGTTTCAGCAGACTACAGAGCCCAACACTGGCACTGAATATCGGCATCTGATTGGATGAAGTCGGGGTGGAGATGCAGGGAGCAACAGTAGTCACATGACGTTGTTATGATGCCACCTTTCCACTTCGGGGCTAGTGGAGTTGAAGCGAGCACAACTTAAATTATCCACCTCTTCAAACCTCTTTCTTCTCTCAACTTCACACCTGCAACAACTCATTCTCTCACCCGAAATGTAAGTCCGATTTTTCGTCATACCCATTATTAGAGCGATCTCAGCGGTGCTCAATCATCAATTCAACGGCGACTGAGCCAATTGACGACGGGAACCATGATGACATCACTGCACAAGCTCACACCGTCACACACATTGAATCCATCAGCTAACAGTGAGCTTCTCAGCAACCCTCGAGTGTCAGGATGAGAGCCAAGTGGAGAAAGAAGAGAGTTCGACGCCTCAAGCGTAAGAGGAGGAAGACGAGGGCGAGGAGGTTTGTTCGACCGATTCGATGACTTGGAACCGACACTGACTTTGACATCACAGCAAGTAAACACCTCGCTATCGACAGCAACCTTCCCTCCTCCATCAACCCTCAACGTTACCAAAGGGACAACAGACGTCTCGGACAACATCGAACACCGAAGACATTGAGTGAATCCCAGTCAGCCATCGAAGGACGAGATTGGACGTGAAGGATGACGGAATCTCACCACGGGCATTTCGGAAGCATTGTGGGGCCGGGGAGGTTATGCAATGCAATGGAGGTTGCACCATGTTGAAGCAATGAAGGGTGGTTTACAAGATCACACCACGCAGATAGCTCTAACACCGGCAATTGCCTTTGAGCGGTCTAGCTACCAAAAACTACATGTCAAGCTGTATCAAAAATAGTGGAATCCGAATGGTCGTTTCTACAAACCAAGGTTTTTTGATCCGTGATATCCACTATCCGCTACCCGTGAACGTATTGTTATATTCCCCTCGTTGCCCCTCATTGGCCTATCTTCTCCAGCAAAAACTGCTTGATAAACTCCTTTCCCTGGGCGGACGCTTCCACCAGCTCCGGCGGGAATGCAATAAAGCCGTGAGGTGCGCCAGGGAATATTTTCACTATTCCTTCTGCACCGGCCATCATCCACTTCGCGCTCATCATCACCGTATCATCTAGAAGGGGATCCTCCGTTCCACACATGAATAATGCAGGCGGCAGCTTCAAACCTCGTAGATTTTCGTAGAACGGCGAGACCATCGGGTTTGTCCGATCATCGACGCTGGTGTTCGGTAGGAAAGCATTTGAGAAGGCGCCCATGATTTTGTGGTCCAATATCAGAGTCTTATCGAAATTCACGACCGATGGGAACCAGTGAGCGAGATTGAAGGCCCCGTAGAGATAGACCAGTCCTCTCAAGCTAAAGTTAGGGCGTGACTTCAGAAGCTGGAGTCCGGCAACCGCAGTGAGGTGCCCGCCCGCAGACTGTTGTATCATCAGTTTAAATGATACTCAGCATGATGTGGCACGGCACCACTTACATCGCCGCCAATGAACATCAGCTCGCCGCCAAACTTGTCTTGAGAATTATCCACAAGATACTCGGCAGCATCGATGCAGTCTTCGGGTCCCTGAGGAAAGGGATGCTCCGGCGCAAGGCGGTATCCAACAGAAATGACCGCCAAATCACAATTATCTGCTACAAATTTGAGATACAAATCGTAACTAAACCGCTCGTTAGTGTCCAATCGTAGGAATGCAGTCGACGAGACCGTCCAAAGACGATAAGTACTCACTCACTCTCGCTCATGAGCACCCATCCTCCGCCATGAATGAATAGGTACGTCCCTTTTACCGTCCCGCTGCTGGGCAGCATCAATCGGCATGGGATATTCCTCCCCGCCTCTCGCGAAGGGATCTCAATGTTCTTGCCTTCAGGGAGACGACGGGGAGCTGGGAAGGCCGTTTGTCCCTTCTCCCGCATCTCCCGATACTTCGGTGCTCCAACCTATAGGACTATCTCAGCATTTTTTCTAGTGAAAGCCTTCTCACTCGGGAAACCTTACCTCGAACCAATACGGCGTCTTTGACATCAGGTCCTGAATCCCCTTGTTGGTCTCATACGTCTTGGCTGGCCCGGCATCGGGAGCGAATTTGGACGCGTCGAGCGTGATGTCACTTGTTAATGGCATTTTGAGCGTTGCGATGGCTCTGAACTTTAACAATAATACACTGGTATTGGGATCTTATATGTGCCTGCCACATCTTAGATATCTTAGTACGTACCTCTCTACTTATACTCCACTAGCATACATGGGATGACAATTCCTGGGGCAGCCAAGTTCCCGGAGCGGGGAATGCCCGGTAACGCCGAATTCGCCGGATGGATGAAGCGGCATGTGCGAGGGGCGCTTAGAGACGCGATGGTTTGGGTATGAAGCTACATACTTGTGTGGCATCCTAATGGAGTAGATGAAATCATACTGAATAGAAATGATATGGTCGGGTATCTTGCCAAACCATCCACACCAGGAAAGACGAGAAGACAGCATTAACATTACGTAGCTAGCTATAGAATATATAAAGAATGCCCACAGGTGGTATCTCAAGATGTGCAGTCCCATATCTAGTAGAACTCCGGCCAAAGAAACGTCAATAAATGGCACTACCGCTTTGACTGGCGCGTCATAACACGATGCGAGCCAATACCAGGCACTTCTCCTTTCCGCTTCCCTCCTTTCATCTGGTCCTGTTGACGCCCTGAAATGCGGTCAAATAAATAAGACACCGAGACATTGAGCATTTGCAATGGATACATGAAGATGGATCGCAAAACGTGAATGGGCATCATGATCGCGGATGCCACTCCGTGCACAACGCCAGTGACTAGGCCAGGTCTTTGTCCGCTCTCCGCGGCGGCAGCGGCAAGAGAGATGGCGTCTCTTAAGCGCAACTCCAGATCCTGCAGCCGCGCCTCCGTCTGGATGGTCTGGGTTGTGGCACGCTTCTCGTACCGGCGCACAGCGCGGGTCAGGGCATCGAGTTGTGGCTGGATGTTGGAGTAGACGTCATCAGCGATATCTGTCGCGTTCCACTCGGGTTGGGATCCCTTCGATTCATGGTCTCCTGGGGTTCCTGCGGCTTGCAGTTCTAGAGAAGTGATGCGCGACAGAAGGTCTTCGGAAGATGAAGGCGGAAGAGATGTGTCGCCGTGGGATTGGACGATGCGTTGGAGGTGGAGCGTCTGTGTCTGGATCATCTTGATCAAATGAGAGCATGGTCGCAGTTCGGACACGAGGAGGAATATTGTGAGGTTGTAGTTTGAGACGAGACCTTCGGAAGGCCGGGAGAGTTGACCACGGATGGTGTGGAGGAGGTATGCCCCCAATAGAGGTCCAGAAAAGCAGGCACCCAGCGCCAACAGCTCGCGCTTCCGCAACTCTTGTGATGCTGCTTGGGCGGCGTGATTCGACTGGTCGTCCGTTCTCGGAGGCTGTTCCTTAGGGGGTTTCTTGGCTTTGGGTTCACCAGATTGGTCTAGAGACTCAATCTCATCATCCTCTTCCTCGATGATTGTGTCTGATGGTGGAGCTATCGGCGGAGGTTCAAGGTACTGAACGGCTTGTGCAGAGTAATACCAGTGCCTTGGGCGTGTATTAGTTTGGTTTCCAACACGTATAAACAGCTTCAAACCCACCATGGCAACCTGACAAACCAATTCAGGAATATGGCTGCCAGTCCCAGCAACAAGATATCGGTTACAAATGCACTTCCATTCTTGAACAGCAACCCTCCAACTGCCGGAAGGAGGCCAAAAGCCAACGGCGCCGAATGCCAATGCGATGGTTCTTCATGCGTTGTATGCTCAATCCGCGACCTGGTCTTATTCGCACGGGGAAGTAGTAAATTATCCGTGGATGATCGGAGTGAGGTTGTCGCTTCATCGAGGGAGAAGTCAGAGAGAAGCGAGCTTCTCCGTCTCAACATCGGCGGTGACCGTTCTGTTGATGAACTACGCGTATAGTTTCTCCCTCCCATCCTCTGCCATTGCATGGAGGCACGCTGCACGCCTGACGATACGGCGATGGTTTCCGCACGAGTGATGCCAGGCGGGGGAGGGGGCGGTTCTTGCGTCATGAGTATTCCGCTTGGGTAGGTGGATAAGGAATTGTATAGGTACGATATGGCACCGTCGACATCAATCTGGGATTAGGCGACGCCGTGGAGAATGACGGCGGCCTTTGTGATCGCCATCCATTTGAGCAGTAGGAGTGTAGTCGAAGTTCTGGAGCTACGGCAGTGGGTGAAACTCAATCTGATGGCATGGACGTCACCACTGGACTCCTCCTGCTTCCTAGCCACCGTAGATCCGGTAATAATCCCGCGTTATGCTTGAGGATGAGCGCTGGGTGAGAAATGACGCTGCGACCTTACTTCAATTGTTGCCTTGTGGCCTCAGGCCTCAAATCGACCAAATCCCAAGCCTTGCTGCCTGAGGCTTGTACTTTTTTTCCTCTTCATCCTTACTCCAACTTGGACTTTGACTCCTCCCCATCACGCACCTTTTCGGAAATGGAACTACAGGTTTAATTAATTTAAATATGGAGATGATACTGTTGGTCTCCAATATGGTTCAGTCGAGTTGAGCAGCTGATTCGGGGCTGAGCGACGAACTTGTCGACTCTTTCGTGCCCACGATGATCCACAAGAGCAGAGCTTAGAATCTTGGAGTACAGTACAACCCCCCCCCCTATTACTGTAGTGATGGCTGATCTTGCAAAAGTTCGAAAACCCTTTCAAACTACATTAAACATATGATATATTATTCAAAGTCACAAATGGTAGCGTCAAGATTCAAGCCTCGGGTCATTCTCCCATTTCCACTGTTTCATCATGTCTTGCTTATTGAGCCCCAAAAATGGACATCAACAGCGAGGTGGCACCGAGACTGCTCAATCCGCGACCACTGGTCTCTTAAGCCAGTTTTATTCAGCAGTGAACGGCGGTCCATCATGAGTCCATGTTTCTACCCCTTATTGAGAGTCTCAATAGCCTCAATAAGGTACCCGTACTCAAAAGACACCATGAAGGAAATAAAAGTCCACATAAATCGTACTCTGTGCTCTATCTTTCCGTCTTCGTTTTCAGATATCCTCTTCTATGATCGCAGACCGTCTAATTCCCACGTCAGACCTTCTTTCGCCCTGTTCATCTCCTGTTGGCAGGAAGAATCCCAGCTTAACCAGTCGTTGATGGCCCAATCCTAATACGATCAATCAGCACACGGTCGTTTCCCTCAACATCTCGAATCCTTCACTATGGACCACCCTGAGTTTCTCCCTCGTTCTCATCAGAACCTTACTATCGAGCCCCTCTATCCTGCGGCTGTCCTGATTGCAATCTTCTCCTTCATGGCCGTCGTCCTTGACATTGCCCCCTTCTACTGGCATCTCAAGCATCGGAACACCGGAGCATACTGTCTCATCATGTGGTTCATCGTGCTGAATATCTTCAACGTGATAAATGCTATGGTCTGGCCTCGAGACAACATCGCAGACTGGTGGAGTGGCGTTGGGTTGTGCGATGTGGAAATTCGCGTGATCACGGGAAGTGGAGTGGGCATTCCCTGTTCACTCATCATTATCCTGAGCGCCCTCGCTAGAGTGCTCGATACTGATAACACGGTGGTTGTCCCATCTCGAAAAGACCGTATCCGACGGATAGTGAAGGAGCTACTTCTCTGCTTTGGCGTGCCGGTTCTGCATATCGTTCTCTCCTATGTTGTTCAAGCGAATAGGTTCTACGTCTTCGGAATCGCTGGGTGCTACTTCTCCCATGATTGGTCATGGCTGGCCATCGTTTTAGTAACGTCGTGGCCCATTATTGCGACGCTAGTGGCCTCATACTATGCAGGTATGTGATTCGGGGAAAATAAAGAGAACTCGCGCTGACATAGAGAAAGTGTTGGTGATTTACCGTATTTATCGGTATCGGCAAGGATTCGCCAGCGTCCTTCGAGCAGCCGAGACGTCCAAATCGCGATTCATCCGTCTTTATTTGATGGCTGGCGTCTGCATCCTGGTTGTTCTTCCAATCTACACCTACCTTCTCGTCTTCTACCTCACCATGGGCGTTAGTCCATACTCCTGGGAACGAGCTCACGAAGACATCACCAGAATCCACATGGTGCCGAGCCAGGGAACAATCCCAGTCGACCGCTATGCTCAACTTGTGGGCGGCTACCTGACGTTCTTCATCTTCGGACTTGGGCAGGATGCCGTGCAGCTTTATAGCTCATGGTACCACAAATCTGGACTGGATAGAGTGGTACCCGACATGCGGCGGCTGAAAAGCATCACGTCATCTCTTCGCACCAGGTCGTCGTTCAGCAGCATGGCAAAGTCTGTCAGCAGGAAGTTTAGCACACAGGGAGATATCCATGTCACATGTTCTTGGTATTTTCTCTATTTAATCTGGGTATTGAGACGCTTACTAATTAGAGCGTACAGGTCAGTTACTGAAACCACACAACCTGCGGGTTCTCCGGAGCATCCTCGAGCGCAAACCGGCGGCGACAAGTTCCATTGGTCATTTGATGAGGAGATGGGAGGAAACTATAATGTCGGGAGCATGCGCTGGACGAACGCGTTCCAGTTCTTTAGTCGATTCAGGAATCGATCGTCGGGGGCTGGCGGACCAACTCCGCCACCGAAGGAAGTCCCGCGACTTGATATCCAGCGTTTCTCTCAAGACGCGGCCTGTGAGACGGATCTTTCTCCGATGACGAAGGAGGCTGCGAATGCGCACCTCTGATAACACACAGGCTTGGCTGGGGAGGGAAACAGAAGGTGCAATGCAGATAATTTGATTCGAGCTTATTTATACAAATTTTCATGGGTGTCGAGAACGCGGTCGGTTGTCTGGGGCTGTAGTATGAAAGGAGGCTTCATCAATTGTATAATTGACCTGCTTCTCCATCGCCTTTGTCCCTTCCGATTCTACGCCGTCTCAAATTCTTCTTCTTCCCCTTGTGCTCCTCTTTCTTCACCCGTAGGGTCTCCCGTCGCTTATCCTGGCCTTTTCTGTTCTTGTCATTTTGGAACCATCTCATGTTCAATTTCGACCAGTGATCCACCCGTTGAGCGCCCGCAAGGATGTTGTATTTCTCCAATGCCACCTTTATCTCCCGAACCCTCTTACTCGTGTAGTTCCCCATCGGACACGGTGCAGGGACCCACGGGTGCGTCGCATTTTGTCGCATGTTTCCCTTCCCATCCACTTCCCACACACAGTTGAACCGGATTTGCTCAGCAGACAACTTATCGATAGCGTGCATCTCTGACTTCGTCACCGTCCCCCCCTGCCTTCGCTTGTCGACGGATAACTTCCCATGTTCCTGCCGATAGCGTTGCATGGCAGTGCTCATGCAATTCAACATCCCTCGGATATCTTTCGGATCCTCCTTACTCCAGTCGATGTCGTGCATTCGATCGATGAGGTCTGTGGGTCCAATGCGAGGGTCGATGTCTTGAAGCATCACAAGATACCAGGCCGGTGCTTCTTTCTTGATCCTGTCGGGGATTCGAGGGTCGAATTGGTTGAGTTTGCGACCGCTAGGTACTGTCAGGGGTTGGTCGATTCCGACTAGCTTTAAAGTGACTCTGTCAAGGTGGCTCGTGTCGTGTTCCATAACTGCGCATTCAGGGGGCAGGTGGTTCTCGTGGTACTTCCGGAGAAACGAGGGAGAGGGTGTTGGCTGAAGTGCTTCCTGGTGTGGTTGGAGTGTCAACGGATGACCCAGCAATCGAGCCTCATAGTCTGTAGCGGGAGCTAAGAATGAAAGTTTCTCGTCGTCTGGGAGATTGGTGTCGGGAAACCATTGCGGGTGGGTGTCGTCAACCCATCCTCCCCATTCCTCATTGGGTTGCGGCCGGAACATGAGAGATTGTTCGTTCTCTTTCTTGAGCGCATAGAAAGGCCCCTCGCTATACCCCTGTGCGGGGTATTCTAGGCCCGCGAAAATAGAGTCTGGTGGTTCCGATTCACGAGAAGGCGTGAAATGAGGAGGTAAAGGATTTGTGAATCCAGTGATAGGATCGGCACTGAGTCTAGGCCACTGATATCCGAAAGAGATGGATGATTGAGGAGTAGACGGTGTTTCGGTGATTGGAGTATTCATGCCATCCTGAACGAGGAGAGCGGGATCGACAAAGTCGTCTGGCACCAATGCTTCTTCCTGAATTCCAAATTCCGGGTCAAAAATGTGCATATCCACATTTGGCTCTCCTGGAGCCGCTCGGTTATCCAAACCAAACTGAGTATGGAAGGGCAGGTTTTGCTTGGTCTCTGGATTCGACACTCGGAGTGATCCATCATAATCACCAGGCTGGTATTGATGACCGTCAAGAGACTGAAAGAGGATGTCTGGCCGATTATCATTGGTAGTTTCAGTCAACAAATCTTGTCCCGCACCGGGCAGCATAGGATTGTAGTATCGAGGAGCTTGACCATAATCATTCTCCTGAACAACTTGTCTAAGATCCGCCGGTATGGTAGGGTCATCGTGGAGGTATTCCTGTAAGGCTCGTCGGAACTCCTCGTCTCGCGATTCCTCCTCTTCCCCTGAGCCGAAATCCTGGCCTGGAATGATACCAAATCCCGACATCGGTAAGGACAGGACGGTCCAATGAGCACAGTAATGACAGTAGGATAGTTGGGCAAATTAAGTTGGAACACAGCGCTGGATTGCAACAAGAGCAGAGTGAGAGGAAAAGAGGATAGGGTGTTGATGAGGGAGTGAAATGGTCCGTCCACATGCACAATAAAGGATTGTGCGAATTTAAAAGTGTTCCAACGGAACGTGGCAGAGAGGCCTGGATTCGAGACAGAATGAAGCTCATGAAAGGGCTGCATAGCCAGACACTGAATTCGCGACTTTTCCATGGCTTGGGGCTGTTACAACCCTTTGCGCACACTCCACAATGGGATTTCCACCATCTAGACAACCGCATGTTCGAGAAGTTCCTTCGTGGAGAAAGTGTTCGCAGACTCCATTGCTTTGTCAAACAAAGGGGAAAGGTTACACATTTGTCTTGCACTTCGACAACTCATCGTTGACCACAAAGCAGGCTGCTTTGGACAAAGACCATTGATATCTCTGGAAAGACTCTCTTCTGTCGATGGACATCTGCCTGATCTTCATGTCTTCTTCTGCCAAACGCAACACGCATCTCAGGCCCCCCTAAGGGGCCTCATACATGGGACCGCCGTGAAATCTTGCGTCTGGTCGTGTCGGGTGAGTTTTCAGTTCAGGGGTATTTAGCTGCGGGGTTGGAGTCTGCATTTCATAATATCCTTGGGGAAAACTGGGCTGATATGGAGGGGCAGAGGCTTCCAACTGCGCCACACCAGGATTGGCTGCCGGTGAGTATTCATACTTGGCTGGTGGAACCACAGGTTGACCTGCTAATTCGGGTTTCATAGGATCATCTGGCAACGAAATCCCTCTGGCAGCGGTCTGCTTCTTCTTGCGTCGAAATAGGCAAAATCCGAGAAAAGCCAGCGCGATAACCAAAACTCCGACCCCGACGCCCACACCAGCTGCGATAGCAATATTCGACGAGCCCGAGGTCGCTGAAGACGTTGACGCTGGGGTACCATCGGCCCCTGTTGTTCCCGGGCGAATCGAGGAGGAGGCGGTCGATGCGGACTGGCTCGGAAAGATGCCCTGTTGGGAAGCCGTTCGAAAAGAAGCAGGAGGGGCCGTAGACCGGGAGAAAGGATCAATCGTGGCAAAGTCGAATATGATCTCAGGGCTCCCTATATTGAATTTTAACTCCTGCTTCGCGCAGCAGTCGTCGTCGTCGCTGCTCATACAACAGTATTCCGTACCACCACAATTGGTTAGTACCTCATAGGAGTTCTTCGAGTCTGCAGGTCCATTAGAATGAAGGTTGCTTTGAGCAAAAGTCCACTTACATTCTTTGCAAAACTGCGGACAATTGGGGTCTTTCCAAGTTTGGTCGGTGCAAGCTGCTCGATAAGTATATGCCCCAGGGACATTGCAAAGTCCATTGCTCAGACATTGGTCTTGCTGGCTTGGGAGGCAACATGACGAATGGGTGTCGCCTGAACACGGATAGTACTGATAGTCAGTTGCATTCGAACCGTCCGGAAGATAGCAGGAACGTAGTTCAGGGTATGCCGCCATTGCAAGAAGACAGATTCAGGACCAAAAGACTAACGATATAATAGCACGAAGAGTTTTCAAGCGACACGATGTCAAAAACATCACGATATTCACACCACTAGATACTTCTGGGTATTTATTCCGCTGTCCTAGGGACATCCAATGGTCCAACCACCAAGCAAGGTACACTCACCTTTTAGGGAGGATGGAGGATTACCCGCACATGAAAAGTACAGATGCGCGTATAGTCAACTCGATGGTATCTCGTTGCTGCAACGTCATTGGCTTGCTAGACCATTTCTCGTATCTCGATTCGACGATTCTATTTCTATTCGTGTTCGGAGATTGCAGGGCGTGGGGCACCGATACGTCGTCTCATGGCTCATGCTGCTCTAGTTCAGCACAGGAGGGACAGAGCACTCACGGCTGGAGAGCGAGCACATTACGAAGACATCGTAGTTTAGTTCTTGAAGGTGTCAACTGTCAAGTGTAAACGGGTGTTTTCATTTCATTTTCTTGAGTTCTTGGAGTGTGTTAGTGAGAGAGGTTGAAGAATATGAAACGATTGCTGCGACGTTGACATTGATGAAGTCTCCCTTTCATTGGCTGGGTTCACCGAACATCTTCGCCGAGAATTCCGTCCGGAATTTTTGCAACGTTTATCATTTCTGCATGGGTCTCGACGACGTTAGCTTTCTCTCAATAAAATCATTTGGTAGACGCTTTCTTTGACGGACTTGCATCGAAGCTGTACCAATTCTTTTCTGTATTTCTCGGTTTACTTGTTGTCCGAAGGGTTTCCTCGAGTCTGCACCCAGCCTTCACAGCCAGTATCCATTCCACCGCCGAGTGTGCAGAAAAATAGTCTCCATGTGAAGTGGAAATGATTCAAACGGATACTTGCGTTGAGCGTATGCCAATCAGCGATGCGATTCTCCAGGGCATATATCATTCAGACCAGTCCATGTACCCTGCGCCCTTGACTTACAAGCAGCTGCAAAGCTGGGTACGCGCATGTCCTCAGTCTTGCCTTGCTTACGCTATGTCGAGGGATGGACAGCCGTCATCTCACATGGAAACTGTAGGGGCAGTCATTTTCCTTCCAGTTAAGCAAGCATACTGGAAACAGTTGATCGTTGGCAAAGTCAAAGAGACTGAAATAGACGCTAGCGCCATGTTGTCAACAGCTTCTGGATATAAAATCGGGTTGCACTGCTTCCATATCGAGAAGTTCGAAAACTGGGGTGGTCAAAGCAGAAAGTCGCTTTTCCACAGTATGTGATGGCAGACGTGGACCAAGTCGCCTAAGACAATGGCTGGGCCGTTGTTGGTTAAAGTACTAGTTAACTACTAACTTACTTGTACTCTGGTATGTGGAACCCATCGTGAGATATACAATACTTTAGCTAATGGGAAGACCTAGCCTTAACTGCCACAACTGCAGGGAAAAAGACATTCCTCAAACTTGGCTTTACGCCGTCTGATTACCAGGAGGTCTTTGTGCAGTCTACTAATGACCTGATCAAAGAGGTCAAACTGATCCGCGTCCATCCTGGAGACTCACCCCCATCTTATGAACCGGGCCAAGATGACCAAATCATCATTGATACGTGTATGATGGTCCATTGTAATGATACATAGTTACTTGCAAAAGAAACTGGGCATTGGCTGTTTGGAGCTACTCGTTTCTGTTTTGTAGCATAGTATTTGGTATGTATCGGACATACCCCGTCCAGGATTTGGGGAATCATTTTATGAATCTGCAGGAATAATATGAGGGCAATGTGAAGCGGTTCTTCATCGGTAGGCATTGTTGTCTAAAATTTACAAGTGGTAATATTCCAAGTTCCATTCAGGATCATCAGTAGTTCGTCCAACCCAAGATGCTCATGTACATTTTTTCGCCGGCCTGCAGCTTGATGTGCTAGGCCAGCGATCTCTCTGTACAATCGAATCCTTCAAGTCACCTACCAACTCCCACTTGTCCTGTGAACTCATGACGACACGATTGCCTGGTCGGTCATGAAAAGATCCTGGAGCCTAGATTCTCCCCGGATCATGAGGGCCTTTTCATCAGAACCCTTGGGTGGAACGCCAAGTTTTCCGCCACGTCCCAAGTCCACAGCACGCGCCTTTGTACAGTTGACGACGCTAAAACGAAGCACCTAAACGCCCTCAAACAATATTTTCCAAGGGCAAGCAACTCATGACACATGACCGTGAGGCCCACGGATGTCAGTCCGAATATCGGTTTGAATATCGGTTCGGAAAACCCACTCCTGGCTCTCGTCGTCGCTTATATTCCCCAATGTTCTCGTCTTCACTGGCGCTGGGGATGCCTTCATCTCCACGTCCCGTGTGACATGGATGTCCCGGTATCCAGCCCGGTGGCTCTGGTGGGACGAGAGAGGACCGCCATAGGTGAGATCCGTGTGTCGACGGGAATTCAGTGCGCCACTGCGATTGTCGGTGGAGTGCACGAGGCCGGGGAAGCATTTGCGCATAGCCGGACGGATCCCGGGGAGGCAGCCGCAGATGATTCCGAGGCCAGTTTCAACGTCGGTAATTACGTAGATGATAGTGCCGATGTCTATATGGTATGGTCAGCGCCGAGGTCGTGTGAAAGGGGTCTAGTGTTGGCCTTTGACGTACGTGTTACGTCCCAGGTGTCAAAATATTTAACTATATATCCAATCCGAACGATACTCACTATACAGACGCTAAACCAAGTCAGCAACGGGTGGAATGAATGATTTGGCACTACTGACATGACTCCTAGGCTGAAAGATAGGATCAGCCCAACCCGCTTATTAAGGCTCAGTTTGACCTTCCAGAGATAATGTACCGGCCAGAGGAAGACCAAACAATCCGTGAAGGCGTTCACGGCTGTCATAGCAATACTAAATGGCTCAAGATTCATGCATTTCCTGTCGACCTTGAAATAGTCCCAAGCGTCTTTAATAGGCCTAGAGAATGTCAGACTTGGATACGCACAGTCCCGGCAGTGACCGGTACAGACGGATTGCTTCTTACCAACATTGGAATATCGGCGGTAGAGCCCAGGCGAGTCCGGTTGCAATCAAAAGGACGATACAGACATAGTTGAACCGTGAATTTGTGCGGGATGGAAATATGCGGAGGTATGTCAAGCAGACGGAGATCTTTGTCAACGCGGATGTTGGGCCAAACAAAACTTGTGTGGCGACAGCCATTTTGGCGATGGTTGGTACCCATTCCAACTTGACGTCGTAGAGATGTCGACCAACGCCCACATCCAACTCGACTATATGTAATATCGCAGTTGCCACCGCGCATACCTGATATCCTGTCAGCATTTGCTTCAGGGGGGTCGTCGATGTGGACCAATATCTGGACTCACATATGCCATTAACATGGTCCAATCGTCCATTCCCAGCGCATTGCGAATGATTATGATTCGTGAATAGAACCGGCATACGATGAATATCGTGGTCAGAACTATCAAAGTGATATCCACTCCCCAAACCAGTGGATCGAGCACATCGCGCGGGTTCTCGTAGTCCGGAGTTGGCCAGCTGAGGACGACATCGAGTGTCGGTAGTTGTGACATGATCGACTAGACTCAAAGAACAATGGTGAATCAATGCAGGCTCAAGACTCTTGAAGACGTTGAAGATTGCTCCGAAGGGACATAATCATTTTTGGGTTTCCACCTAAGACAAGTTGCCTCGCGGATGAGTTTGCATATAGGAAATTGAATTGATATCCAAGGTCAGATCCGATCGGACTAAGGTGGGCACCGCTAGGAGGTATATCATTTATCAAGGGTCCGTCAACGTCTGGGGTGGTGAGGACGAGAACCATTATTACTCCATTGCAGCCACTACACCCACAGACTCTGTTTTGCGGCGAGCATGAGGCAGGGCTGGTATGGATGAACGCCTCGGGCACTCGACCATACAATACTGCATTCTGGCCTCTGGGTGCGGTACGTCGTGTCAGGGAGGGGGTAAGGATCAAGGCAGAATAGAGGCCGCTGTACGGAGTATCCCGACCATTACCAGTGAACTTTGAGCATTCGAGGTGTCTGGGGAAGAGTGCGTAGTTGGTTGCTCTCCACTTCCCCGGATACACTAGTGGCGCCATATGCCCTAGCCCCTAAGATTCAGTCGTGGCCAGGCATGCAGCGTCCATAGCATTTGGCCCTTGGCAGCGCGTCCATGCTCCAATGGAATAGCTAGGAATATTGGAGAAATTGTTACCAGCTAGTACGATTTAGGAGGGCTGGAGGGGGTCTTGGATCTGACACGGATCGCAAATGTTTCGGATTTCGGTCCACAGTGCAGGAAAGTAGCGACCATGTCGAATTCCGGGGGTATTAATATGTGATCAACCTGCAAGTACATGGGGTATACCTGTAACGAGTGCAGGACTTGACGGAAGAAACCAAAGGCATTCCGAGTTTCCGACAGGTGACAAACTGAAAATGTCATTTCGGTAGCGGCTTAACCTTGTATCCGTTACCTGATGGCGAAGCCTTTTCGTCGAGGAGGAAACCGTTGAATACTCGAGGTACAGGTACGCCCAGAGTTTGGAGCAGCGGAAAGGGAATTCAATATTTTCCCCACCTTATGGATGATGATTTACATAGTATGGTCCCATCAGTGAACAGTCGGTCCTTTTGAGCGGAATTTCCCTAGATACGAACCCTGCGACTTGCGAGGTACCTCTTCCTGACGGGTGTGTTGATCATTGGTGGCACCGTAATTACTCCAGTTTTAACTCCACTGTCTCCATAGGCTCCATAGCGGGAATGACCCGAGGTCTAGCCCAGTCCGGCATCGTTCAATTTTCCACGCACAGTCGCCCTCGGGATGAAGATCAGACGCTGAGAAGATGGCGTTTTCGAGCTGTTGATCTTCGTTCTAGTTGCTATTCTAGGTTGACAAGATTGAGTCGGAAAATCAGATCACTTCGGTCCCGATTTGTGTTGGACGATACTCTGTTGGGTCCATGTTTAATTTAACAGCATATTGAATTTGAACCTTGGGACCGCTGGGAGGCGCTGCGTCGTGTCGCCCTACGATGTAGTCCATAGAGGCTTGGGCGGCTGGAGCCTGGAGGGCAGAACAGAGCCAGACTCGAGCGCTACTGCCTTTGGGCATTCCGGTAATACATAGTAGTAAGGATGGAGTACTCCATACATGATTCAGTATTGGTACTATTACACGGTGCTAAGGCTAAAAGTGTTGTGGTTCGTCTCACTTTCAGCAGTTATTCCCGTCTGTTGCTACTCACGCCACGCGTGCCCGTGAATCCGCAGCTCCATGGGCTTGTGGCATGAATAGGTACTGGTACGGAGTATGGTATCCATGGCGTATTTCCAAACGCCGACTAAAAGTAATATGGAAGAGTATGTACCCAATCTCGGTTCCCTCCACCTGCACTCTTCACGCTTCTCTATCGGGTTACAACCATTTACGGGATTCACACTAAGTTCAGCTCCCCTTTTTTTCAATTCTTCACTCCGTCCCTGGGAGCCAGGGATATCTTTGCGTGCAACGGTCCCTTCGCCCACAGCACATAGACCTTCTGATCGTTCCAATCTTCACTCTCTGGCAGGAGTTGGAATTCGAAGTTCCAAATTAGGCGGGCAACAATAAGCCTCATTTCTAGATACGCGATGCTTCCAAGAAAGTCAGTGATTGCCAAAAGTCGATCCTGATCGTCCTATGATTTTGTCCTGAAAGGGGCTAGCGACGACAATCTCTGCGGCAAGGAGTCTCTCCATCTGCGACGAAGACGAGAAATTATGGGATGGACCACTTACTTCTTTCCAATGCAATTCCTTGGTCCCATGCTAAACGGATGCAGAACATCAAAGCGATCGTTTTTGTATCGCTCGTCTCCGAGGAATCTCTCCGGCACGAACTCGTATGGGTCACGGAAGTTGGTGTCGGAATGGTACGACGCCCTTGATCAATCAGTCAAAATAAATCTGAGGAGCAGCTGCCTGTCGCAAAAGGGGAAAACATACCAATGCGAAACGCCCACCACCGTTCCGCCAGGAATCCATATGCCGTCGATGTACTCGCCTTCGCCAGGGACCACACGACCCAATGATGTCGGTATTGGGGGATAAATCCGCAGAGACTCCTCCAGCACAGCGGTCATGTACCGACACTTGCTGACGTTATCGTAGCTGATGTCCGCTTCATTCTTGAAAGTCCCACGGATCTCCTTGACCAATTTCCGATAGACTCTCGGGGTCCGTAACAGGTAATAGAAGCATCCCGATAACAGAGTCGCGGTAGTTTCGCTGCCCGCGATAATAAGCACCTCGGAATTCGCCTCCATCTCCGAAACCGACAACCCTTCGGGATCTCCCATTGTCTCTAAAATCTCGCCCATGAAGTCCGGTCGTGAGGTCTCCATGTGGATTCGTTTCTGGACTTTCGCCGTCGTTAGTGCGATATGGTCATCCCTACCTTTCTTGATCTTGGGCGGCAAAACAGCGTTCAGAAGCCAGAGTGCCCCTGGGATCAGCCGAAGACATTGGACGACCACCACTGCGCGAAGAAAGTCGAACGTGAGTTTGATCCATGGGTGCAAATTGGCGTTCTCAAGGCACCCGAACGACTCGCCATACGCAAGGTCTCCGATGACGTCGAAAGTGGTATAGTTCATCCAGGCCGCTAGGTCGACCTTCTGCCCTACCCGCTCTTTCAGTCGGATAACCAGAAGGTCAACGTAGCGCATTATCATTGGCTCCTGACCCCTGAGGCTTTTTTCAGAGAACGATGGACTGAACAGCTTTCGAAGCCGCGAATGCATAGGACTTGGTGCATTTAGAATGCTCCAATCTCTCCCAGGTTGTCTCTCATATTGATCGGGATCCTACTGTCCGTCAACTGAGGTGTCTGGAGAATACCAACACATTCGGGCCTTCATCGAACCTTTTCCATCTGGGAATATCGATGGCCACTCCGATACCCGTATATCTCGTGCCAGGCGCCAGGCGAATTGAAACTCAAGAGATTGATACCCACCCGCACAACCGGCCCATATTTTTTATGAAGCTTGGCATATTCGAACACCAGGTCGCCATGGAAGTTTCTGTAGTGGTGCACGAAAGGGGTCGCATTTCGAAACCTGGGTCCAGGGAACTTGGCGAGCGGATGGAAGTAGGCATTGTAAATCGCTTTGGAGATCAAGTAGATCAACGACTGCAAGCTTCCGTGTCAGTCCAAGCTTTCCAAGATCCTTCTCTTTTGCGATTTCATCTCCATCCCAAGCGCCGTTTCGAGGAGTTCAAGGCATAAAGCCGTTCAGACCATCACCGCTCCATTGTGAGAGCGAAAAGGGAAGGCTGGGTACGCACCGCAAGGATAGCCACCAAGGCCACACTGCCAGGTCGCATGGAATTCACCTGTGCAATCTGCGCCAATAAGCCAGCCATCAGGGAGTTTCCAGATGTCGTGCAATAGTTTCAAATAAAGTAGCGGGCACACCTGACGCCCATAACAGTCGAGATAGAGGTTGTGCAAACCGACACGGATTTCTTTATGGTTCAGTGCGACATACTTTTAACCTTCCCAATTCGATGGTAGAATTAGCCTTTCGTCCCCAATTAATTAGGTATAAAATGTGTGGGACCAACCCTGGTGGTACGTTCTTGGATTTCTCGACAGCATTGCTTTGCTGCATGAGTCGCGGAGCGAGCAGGCTATCGTGGGATTGGACTCAATGCAGTCTTGGAAGTTAAACACCACCTACTCCAGCATCCAGCTTCTAACCCTTGCCAAACTCAAATTAGAAGATTTCTAGAAGCTGGTCGACGGAATGTTCCATATGACCAGATGCTGCACGTCGAAGGTTGGACCGCAGGAGTGACCACTGCATTCATCGGGGCTGGGAGCATCGGCCCATGTAGCCACCCAGTATTAAATTCATACCGCGATTGGACATCTCCTTCTGCCACCATTCCGTGATCGGAGCGTTTTACGGAGTAGGGCCATTAGTGACCCGAAGACTGAAGGGGATTGAGAATTTGAGATCATCCTTGACTCTTGGGTGTGAACATTGACAGTTGACAGGAGCAGCATTGCGTCGACATTCGATGCACGGCGGACCACCCTGTCTTACGATGCTTGTCGAACCCGGGAACAGGCCCGATGTCCCTATCGGCGGATTCCACAGTTCGCCCAACAGCCACAGAACGAAATGGAGATTCATGCTGCCACTTTGCGAGCCAGTGGACTGGTTGTAACTAGTTCCACCACACCGGCTCGCTCCGTAGAAGTGATGCCAAATAGACAATGGGGCAGTGGGGTCCCATGTATGATGTACATACTATGTAGTAGCTTTCGCGTGGCAGCAGTTACTCCATCGACCTGGATGAGCTAGACTGGTCCTTGGAGCAGGATTCGCTTCACAAAGGCTCCAATATCCATTGCGGTCGACACCGAATAAGAATGGTCGGTGGAGTTTCCTTGGTTTCGTTCTTCAGTTCTTGTGTCAATCCTTGTCCAATTGGGGGAAATAAATAATAGATCGGATTAACCGACATGGTTGCACAGCAAGACAGTCGCAAAAATTGCTTGAATTTCTCCAGACGAACAATCAAACTAAATATGTACAGTTGAATGACGCTTCTCAAATTGTCTTGACGTTAAATTTCTTCACGGCTTCTTCGCTGTAAGGCACCGGCTTTCCAGCACTCTACAATCGTGCCTCGATCAGGTCAATAGTGTTGTCGGTAGCAAATGCGCAAGGAGCCTTTTTGCTCATCACAGTCTCAGCCTGAGCCCGGGTGATGTATCTGGCTGCCGTCGCCGGGTTGTAACCAAGACCGCTGCGTTTCGCGATCGTAGCCTCGTCGATCGGAATATCGGTGTTCTTCTTGCCATCAGCACGCTTGTAGACGGTGATGACGACGCAGCCGCCCAAGCCCAGGTTATGTTGCAGCGCAACGTCGATGTCCTTGACGAGACGACCGTTGTTGGCCCATCCTCGCAACTGCCAGGTCAGTTCGGCGCACTGCGCAAGACCGGTGGCACCGAGAGGGTGTCCCTTGGAGATCAGTCCACCGGAGGGGTTGACGACGACTCGGCCTCCGTAGGTGATGTCTCCGTTGCGGACCAGGTGGTGGGCCTTACCCTTCTCGCAGAGGCCTAGCCCTTCCAAAGTGATCAATTCGTTGGTGGAGAAGCAGTCGTGCAACTCAACCACCTTCACATCGTCGATAGAGACCTTGGCTTCGTTCAACGCGGCCTTCGCAGCACGGCCAGTCATGTCATAGCCGACAAGAGACATCGCGGAGCGATTGTAGTGCTCGGGAGTGTCGGTTGCCAGGGACTGGCCAGCCATCAGGACGGCATGAGCCTTCAATTCCGGCCGGGCATCCAGGAATTTTTGGGAAACAATAACAGCGGCACCAGCTCCGTCGGAGGTGGGTGAGCATTGCAGCTTGGTGATCGGGTAGTAGATCATCGGTGACTGCTCAATCTGCTCGAGCGTGTACACGTCCTGGAACTGCGCGTACGGGTTTCGGGACGAGTGCTCATGTGATACTCTTGCGATCTCAGCGAAATCCCTGGCTGTGGCTCCATACCTATAGGAAAAGGTCAGCATATGTGAGACTGAGCAGGACTTGTCCAATATATAATGTCTCTGGAAGGAAATTCGCGTCGAACCCCCAGTCTCCCATCTTTTTATGAATAGGCGAAAGGCTGACTTACTTCTCCATGTACTCCACTCCGGCATTGCCGAATTGTTGGGGGTTTGGAGGCGCCTGCTTCAAGCCGTGGGTCTCCGACAGCATCTTAATCCTCAGATCACCCGAATTTGGCATTTTCGGCGCACCCGTCACGTTCCCACCAAGTGGTCCCGGTTGCATCTGCTCAAAACCAATGACCAGCACGCAGTCATGGATCCCGCCCTTCACGAAGTTGCGGGCCATGTTCAAGCCTGTGGAGCCGGTTGCGCATGCGTTGTTGGTGTTATACATGGGAATACCCGTCATTCCAAACTGGTAGAAGCAGCGCTGGGCACGGCAGGTGTCTGAATCGGTCAATTTCGAGTCGGTCAGACCGGGTTTCTTCGCAGGAACTTACCTCCGACACAGAAGCATCCAATACCAGCCTGAACATCGTCATAGGTGACCCCAGCATCCAGCATGGCCTTTACACCGGCTTCGAAGGCCATCTCAGTGTAGAATCGGGTAAGACGGGGCTTGAGGAATTTACACATCCCCACCCCAAGGACGTAGACATTGTTCTGATTGGACGACATGGTGATAGCTACAAAGCTTGAACACACTTGATAGAGGCAGAGAAGGGTTTCTTAGAGACCAAACTTGAAGAACCAAACTTGACGATAATAATTAGAAAGCGGCAAATTATGGAAGATCCAAACTCGCTGAAATATGAGAATGTATGCGCTGACTTAGACTGTCGTTGCTGCGGTGTTGCCCCATTGCCGGGGTTGCTCCATTGCCGGTCTTACTCCATTGCCGAGCTCGGTTGAGATGGCTGACAGCTGGTGTGGAGTGTGGAGTGTGGAGCGATCGTAGAGTTCGCAGATCCGAGGTCAGGGAAGATCTCCAGTATGTTCGCCAACCACTCAAAGCTAGTTAATGGGGTAGATTACTCATATTGGAGCTATCAGTAAACAACTTTCGTGAACAACTTTGATGAACACAGTTCTTGAATGATCTCTTGAGCTTTCTGGGTGATTTGTCGTCCTTCATGATCATTCCCTTTGGCTCACGTTTGGTGGCTGGGATTTCGCAGGCATCGGCCGAGAAAGTTCCTGGGCATTAGCGGTAGACGTTTCCGTTTAAGCTCATATTTTCAAGGCTTTCATTCCCAGTCACATAATTATGGGGATATCACCATGAACATAATTAGATCAAACCCAGAGAAGAACTGGTTTCGACCAAATTGGCTGTTCAGGAAGACATTTAATTAACATCGTGAGTGGAAGCCACACGTGACACACACGTGGCTCTAAGTCACGTGCATCAGCTTGATCCATCATCAACTGTCGTGACTACAGTTCGGCTGACCTCGAAAAAGGTTCGGCTGACCTCACGTGACCCATTTCATCACCTAGAAAGTTCATCTAACCAAATTCGGAGGTCAGTTGAGCTTCATCAACAAATCCTATACTAAGATTTAATATATCACTATTGTTAGCTCCTTCGACTGAAGTTTGAAGCGTATCTCGATGTCTTGTCCAATTTATGAGTCAAAGCATATATTCTACTGACGTCGCTGTCTCTTGTGCGGGCTAAGTCCTTTCCAAGCATTTGAAGCCCTCTCTGCTGCAGCCCTCTTCGGACGCTGTCTGCGCACATCCTGAGACCTAGAAATAAAATTTTGAGCACCGACTTGTGCAAATCTTTCGGCGTAGAAATCATTCATATCTCCAAAGTGATAATTCCATGCCATTGTTGGAGTGCAGGAAGTATACACTCCCCTTGTAGCGAGAGCCATATTCCGTGCTTCCATCAGTTCTATCGGGTCATTTTCCTGCCCCGTCTCTGCCAAAAAATTGGTCACTGTGCCAAAGTTACTACAGTTATATAGTACAGGCTGAAGCCGTCGACGTTCGATATCAGTAAAGAACTCTTCTAACGACGGAGGTTGCCAAGTAGGCTGTAGAGGGGATCGAGCCATAGGAATAGGCACAGTAACAGAGACTGGTAAAGACGAATAAGATAGAATAGGGGAAGATATAGGGGCAGGTGTAGGGGTCAAC